TCCTTTGACTTGGATGTGCTGGCCAGTTGCTCTCTGGGAGCTCACCTGGCTCACCGTCTGACTGGCTAGGCGTACCTTCTCCAACTCCATGGATCTCATGTCACAGTGGAAGCTGGACATAAAGCGTTCGCCATCTTCGCGATACTTCAGCTACAAGTGGCACATGAACCATAAGCATTAGGCCAAAGCAAGCAGGCATTTTTAAAAACACACAAGACACAACACCCTTTTAATTTGCTTGAAGCTCCTTATAAACAGAAATATTAGCAATATATAAAAAAAGCTCATTTTGGCTGGTTTTAACTGCATCATCCAGAATGTGTAACCAGTCCTAACATATTGTTGCAGTAGCATATCATCACATCTGTGCAAACCACAAAAAAATATTTAATGCGGAATACAAATAAAATATGAAATGTTTCTGATCTAAGTGGAACAAAACAGATTTTTTTGGCCCTTTATGTGGAAACTCCCCGATTACACCATCCCCACCATGAAACCATAGTAGTGGCAGCATCATGCTGGGGAGGCTATTCATCCACAGGGAGTGTTTCAGATTTGATTTACAGATGATTGGGATGGAACACAGAGAAACACTGGAAGTAAACCTGTCAGAGAATTTGAAAAACTTAAGGTACATAACTTAGGAATTATGTTTGAATCCCATCAGGTTATGCTTGAGCTATTATGCAAAGACTATGCAGCTATTTGAAGCTAAACACTAGATATAAAAATAAACACATTTTCTTTTGGAATTTTTGAAAAGTGTGTTGATAGAAATACAGCAGAAGTGTGATGTTAATAATAACTACCAGGTTCCAATAAAGATGAAACAGGACACACCATGAAAGGCCCAAAATATAATATGCATCCTGCTGTGTTATTAATTTTTCTGTACAACCGTTTGGTTCCACTGCGGTCTTTTTATAAGTGCTTAACAAATAAAACTGTTTTGGATTGGATATACTTTAGCAGTAAATATCCTAAACTAATTTTAGAACTGCTGTTTTGCAAAGGATAAGAAGCTTTAATGCTTTTAACCATCACCTTGCCAAGGCTGACATTTAAATCTATTTCACTCCTAATAACATTTGTAAAATGATTTACATCTACCTTAAAAATGTCGTAAATAACTACTGAAATAGAAAAGTACAAACATTTAAAGGTAGAGTCCATCAGCGTGGTGTGACATCAGCCTTGAGGTATATTTATATGTGTGCTTAAATATCAACATGTGAAGTCCTGAATCTCTCTGCTTATAAGCTTGCTTGCCTATCGCTAATATGAGCATAGGAGGGTTGCTTGAACCTTTAGACACAGACAGACTCAGACAGACAGAAACAGGTGGCCCTGCAGAGGAAAGGCAGGGATCAGAGGCTGTTTTTCTCTATGTGTATTTTTAGGCACCTGAAGCATAAAGTGGCCTAAGCCATGGCAGGGTAGTCTGGCCTCAGTCAGAGATACAGAAATAAACAGAGGCACACTTCTCATTCCAAACCCCTGCTGTCACCAAGAACTTAGCGCTGCCCTCTACCTGTATCCTTTCCAGCCATTTTTGATTATACAATAATGGATGGAAGTGTTAAAAATCAGGCTGCCAGCTAAATAAGGTTTTGGAGTTAAGATTATCTCAACTCAAAATAGTTTTGCAATGATTTATTATTACAATAAATTAGAATAATACTCTGAAACCTTTTGAAAAGTATGTCTATTTTGATTAAATTCACATGCAAATGTAGTTCTTAAAATGGACTCTGTCATGACAGATAATGACAAATATTTTGCTTGCAGCATTGCAGTGCAGTTTAAGGTACCTGTCAATGGTAAATACTAAGACAGAAAGAGGTAGGAGCTTCTTGAAGTGAATTTGTGCTGCAAAATGATGTGATGGCATACCTCACTGCTCGCCTTGCTTTGCTTCTTTGCATTGATGTTGATGGGAGTTTCGTAAACACTTGTGAACGTGTTGTTTCTTGGATTGTGCCTGCAAAGCATGAAATAGAAAAATGTAAGGCTGCTGGGATGAAATGTGGATGTCATTCCCAGAGGGGAAAAAACAAAAAACAAAAACACATGCAAGAAGAATTCTAGAATTACTTTGATTTTACTGACATATCAATACGTCTTCTTTTTCTTCAAAATGAGACTCATATTTCCTGCCATAGATACATTTTCTTGGTCTGTTTTTGATTGATATAGCACTTACACAGAGCAGTACGGCCTCTTCTTGTGGCTGACAAAGTTATTCGGAGTGAGGACCATTTTGCAGACATCGCAATGAAAACACGCTTTGTGCCAGTTCTGAAAAAGAAAGAAAAGTGCATGATGTCATCAGTTCTTTGGGAAAAAAAAAAAAAGTTTGGTGGAATTTTCTAAAAAGAAAAGTTCATATAGATAATTTGAAAAAAAAAAACAGCCTTAGTAGAAAGAGATAACATCCATTATAAAATTTACAGTTTCAATCTACACATTATCATTTTTACAGGTCTCTGAGATATTCTATTTATCCTCAAACACATTTATAAAAATTAAAAAAAACATACTACAAATTCCAGCACTTTGCTTCCAGCATCATAAAAAACAGACTTAGATACAAAAGGGAAACAACAAAACTTACACATTTTACACTTTCAAAGTGACTGTGTTCCCTATTTTTCCTTTGTCACTTCTGTAAAACTAAACCAACACAATTAACTCTTAAGGGGTTAACCACTGTCAAAGTTCAGTCATTCTGTCAGTCTAAAGTAGTTGCGAGAAAATGAAATAGACATATTTTTAGCCTGCTTATGCTGACTATTGCAAATTAATTCATTAGTCTGACTGTTAAGTATCAGTAGTACAAACTTGTCCTACTGAGTAGCTAAAACTCTAATTTTAACTTAACAGATAAAACAACATAGAAAATATTTATTTGCTTACTTTTAATATTGTTTTAACCAATTAATTTGTCCATCTTTCAATGCTGAGTAGATCTAGCACTAGAATAAACTCTCAGTACTTAGCGGGTAAAAAAACAGATTTAGATAAATTTGATTAACCTCATTGTTTTAAGGGGGGAAAAAAATCTAACATTACTCACAAAAAAATATTGCCCAACATAATCTCAACAGGTTACAACTTTGAAGTTTTACTGACATTGTCAGTAAAACTTTGTGTTCTTTGATATTTCAAAGTGGTGCTGAAGAACAAAGGGGCTCCTTCTAGGCTCTTCTCTGACTCACAATGTCTGAGCAACTATTCCCTCAAAAGAAAACCAATTTTTAGTCAGTTAGCTTTTATGTTTTGTATTTAGGCATAAACACAGTCCAATGTAAAGTAAATACTAAAAGACAATAAGATGCTTCATTCTTTGAGAAAATATGTTGGGAATATGTTAATGTATTTTAAAAATTGTGAAACTTTTAACAAGTAAAATATTGTTTCATAAAAGCTTTTTTTTTAACATAGCTTCCAGTAAATATCCCTTTAGCATCTGTGTTATTGTATGAAAAAGTAAATATGGAATAAGGAATGTTTAAACAAATGCACAATACCTGGTCGATGCAGTTGATCTTTTCTGCTGGGTAGACCACAAACCCACACCTGGCACAGGACTGCATAATAAGCTTTTGATTTTCTCTTCCCCCGAAAAAAAGAAAAATATCCTTTGGTAAAACTGTATACAAACAGAAAATGTTGCTAAAAAGCAGGCGTGAGGTTGACAGACAGGAACCAGTATAGGCTATGGCCAGAAAGTAGCTCCCCTACTGTTAATGTGTCTGTCTTTGCCAGTGTTAAACTTAGCTATGAGTGTGTAGCTCTGAGAGGGTCTCTTACTTAAAACCATGTAACATGGATGGACCACCCCCCCTCCATACCCCCCATGCTCCAGGACTGCCTGAGTACAGCTGTCTATTAGTGGACAGAGACTCAGAGCGTTCAAATGTCTCTGCGTTGGAGTAATGATCTCAAGTAGAACAGCAAGTTCAATTTTAGACATCCTCTCATGATCTCTGCATTAATTCAGTTTATTTTCAATTAATTTTATTCATGTGGCACCGATTCACTGCACATGTCATCTCAAGGCACTTTAGAGATGACGTGTTTAATCATCACATAAATGGTAAATTCACCACCAGTACTATCCCAGGGCAAAATTACTTTCGTCACATTACTCCATTAGTAATAGAGTGACTATAGAACCAGTTTAATATAACACAATTTCATACAATATACTCTACAATTAGGGGGTCGCCATCTCGCCATCAGTTTGGGGGCCCTTGGCCTGGAAAACGTTGAAGACCCCTTATATATAATATAGATATAAATATTTATTTATATAAATACCCTTGTAATACCCACTGTAATAACCCTGTATATATAATAATCCTACTATAGAAAAAAAATAAAAAAGGCTGTCATATGTGGTCGCAGTGTACATACTACTACTATATCCTATGCAACTTCTTCTTCTCCTTTGACTATTTGAGCTGATGTAACAAGTACATTTCTCCTCTGTGATCAATCAATCAATCAATCAATCAATGTATGTATTATTTTTTTGCTGATTTGCTAAAAATAATAGTAAAAATATGCAAGAAAACTGATGCCTCTGCTGAGTAATGACTAAAATAAGATGCCCCATTGGGATTTCAAGAATTTAACATCAGACTCCGAGGAATGACTTTCTTTAAACAGAAAAAAATGAATGTATCATTATGAAAAAGAAATGGGGAAAAAATGTGTTTTTGGTAATATTCGGTAATATTCCTAATACCTCAGTCATTAAAAGACACAACATTTAGAGAGCTAAGTGTATATACATATATATATATATATATATAGTTTTTTTTTTGTCATGTGGTGCACACTCCTTGCCAGCTGGTGGTAGTACTGCTCACCTAACTTTTTTTGCCACCAATCGCCATACAAAAGGTTCAAGAGGAAGAAGAAGAGTTAAAAAAAAAAAAAAAAAACCTTATTTAAAAAGTGACGCACGGTGCCGACGTCATGACGCACGACTGAGCAAACTTTCACTTTCTTAACTTCACTTGAAGGAACAGAAAGTCCCTCAGAACCTTAAGGAGGAAAGTCGACCCAAAAGTTACGTGTTTATGTTTATTCAGAATAAGCTGTTACAGGACAGCCCAAGAATAACTGAGGGTAAGTTAGAGCTAATTTCTGAAAATATTTAAAAGTTTGAAACAGTTCATATTTTACTAGCTTAACACTTCAAGAAGCTAATCATGTTAAACGTATGTTAAAAACTTTATTTGAACCCTTAATCTAATAATTTTATCATGTTAGCTATGTTAATATCTGTACATTTTTAGCAGTGCTGATTTATGCTGTAGTACTGTAACCAAGAGTCAGAACTGCCTTTATTTTACGACTTTTTTCCAGCTAGCTTGTTGTAAACTTTTATTTAGAAGTTCTAAGGGGACGAGTGGGTGTGATAAAATATATCTGCGTTAAACCCAGATGGAGGCTGAAATGAATGAGGTTGGTGTCGGTGTGGAGGAGAAGCTGGAGGCGGAAGTTGATCCCAACCCTGACGGTGGAGTTGGTGCTGAGGCAGCGGGTGATCAGATGGACGCCAAACCGGACCGCAGTGGGAGGTTTCTGCTGTTTGGACGGTGGGTGCTAATTGGCTGTTTCTCAAAATAGACATCAACAGAAAACAATAAATAAATCGGAGAAAAACAGAGAATATGTTGAATAGAAGAATTGTTTGTAGTTTTCACTGTAGTTTGACCTCATTCAAACTTGTTTCTATCTCCAGCAGCCTGTAGAAGAAGTATTAGTACGCCTGCAAATTTTATAGATATTTTGAATTTTGCTAAAAGAAAAAAGAAAAAACATCTGAAGCCTAAAACATACCAGGTTTCTTTCAGTATCTAAGCGCTATCCACATGTTCCAGATAAATCAGGTTTGACATGACTCACCTGTTTTGCTGCACCAAACCAACTTCTCCTGAAAAACCTTCTAAACCTTTTCCCACTTTATGTTCAATTCAATTCAGTTTATTATTATTTTTTTTACTTTTTAAGGCACTAGTTGCTGTTTTTTTTATGGACAGTAGGCTGACAGGAAAGGGGGTATGAGAGAGGGGGAGAGACATGCTGGAAAGGCCGGATTCGAACCTGGGTCGCCCGCGTCAAGGACTAAAGGGCTGGTTAAACTCCCGTGGTAATGTGTTGCAGTGAGCTTGTCGCAGGTATGATGCAGACATTTTTGATTTATGCTCAATATTGAAGCGTGGTGCACTATGTTATTATTCCACGGCATAACGCAAGAGGGACAATCACGAACTAGCTGTGGGTCTAGATACGGCCAAGGCGGGGAGAGAAAGTGGGGGCGAGTTTGTGCGACAACAGATGGACATAAGGGCGAAAAAGAGTGGGGATCCAGGTGGAAAAAGGGTTCCAGTGTTCTCGCGCACCTCGCTCTTCTAGCTGGTCCAACTTCACGAGTCATTTTCCGCAAACGCAGTCATACAAACAACACAAGCTGGTAAGGTACCAAACAGAAGACTAGATTTGACCAATCATAGGCCTCCTGTCTGCAGTCACCTACAATTTTGGAGAGGTGCACCAGAGTGTTTGCAGAGGGGGCGGGGATGTCTCTGCGTTCACCGCGACACCTACGTAGAGGACCTAATTTCGAAGTATAAATCAGCCTTAAGGCCTCCATGCATGGGTCGTGTGCACTAACCACTGCACCACCAAAGCACGCCCACAATTCAGTTTATTTATATAGCGCCAATTCAGTACCCACGTCATCTCAAGGAACTTTACAGTTACAGTATAGATCATACAGTCAAGCTGATTCAAAGTTTTCTATCTAAAGAAAACCAGGTTATTGCATCGACTTGAATGCAATCCCTCACACTAAGCATGCTTGTAGCAACAGTGGAGAGGAAAACTCTCTTTTAACAGGAAGAAACCTCCAGCAGATAAAGGCTCAGTGTGAGCGGCCATCTGCCGAGGCCGACTGGGGTTACAACTATTCCAACCCTTTTTCTGTTAAAATTGTAAAATGGACATGGAAATCACTCACTTTTAGGGTAATTCTCCATTTTGGATCCTAAAGGGGTAACAAAATGTAGATTTGAGTCTTTATTTCAATAGATTTCACTTTAACAGCTCCAGTATTTAGATATTAGCGCGACTACTGCTACTTGAATTAATTGGCTGCCTAATTAAGTGGGTGGGTGTTGGAGGGACTGACTTGTTTTTACTTATAACAGAAAAGTGGACAAAGAGGAGGACAGAATAACACACACAGGTAGAAAGCATCCATCCCTCGGCTCATACAGGAATAAAAACAGTTATAAAATGTATATATCCACTAAAGGATACTTCAGTATTTTGAAATGTGGTTTTATTCGAACTTTAAGGTAACATTGAGAGACACAAATTAAGATGAGCTTTGATTAACTACATTAGCTAGCTACAATATGTATTAATACTTTATTTTCCATTCGTTTTACCCTGTAACTTTACTTGATTATCCCATAAAGGTGCACTCACACTTTTGGATTAAATGATAAATAATTTAGATTTTTGTTAATAGACAAATACAGACTACAATTGTGATGAGAAATGTAAATCAAATGTATGTTTTGGTTTTAGTTTGGTGGAACGGATTAGAAGATTAGCCAATGAGACTTCATTTAACTTAATGCATATAACCAAATTAAATCTGTCTGCAAATTGCAAATAGAAAGTTGAATTTCAGGTGTAAAGATAGGATTTTCTTTGAGAATATGAAAATCCATACATAAATGCATTTTATAATTTATAATCTACTATAACTAAACTGACATTAGAAACTACATTATATTTTAGTAAATAATGTATGATGAAACCTGATAAAAAACATACCAATAAAAAGATTAGATGAGGGTTTTTTTATTTTTTTGTGCTAACCTTATTCTGCATTTTTTTGTTCCATTTTTGTGTTCAAGGTAACAAACTAAAATATGATTCAGGTTTATAGAGCTGCATTATTTATTAAATCGGTTTCCGGTCTATCAATCTATTTTGTCATAGCAATGTTGAAGTTGCTGTAGACTGCATAGATAAAGTACTAGACTATCTAGGCTGTTGGATTTCAAGTGCCTTCACACCCTTGTGACTCATGCCTGTAAACATCCACACCTGTCTGAATGTTATGAAAATCTTATTTGTTGTTTTCATTGTGGAACTGCTGTTTTAAAAATTAGCTTGTGTAATCTGTACAGCATTAAATATAACACTGAATCCATCCTACCAAATGTAAAGAAAAAGCAAACATTTTATAAACTAGGCCTTTTTTCTACAGCATTTATTGTCGGGCTGCCCAGTTTAGGCTTCAAATATATTTTCAGATCGAAATGATTGAAACAAATCTGCCGCACTCTTTACTGGCATTCAAATGTGAATTGTTGTATGTAGGCCTTTAAAAAAGGCTTTTACTTAAGTTTATTTTTAAAAGTAAAAAACATTTTTTTTTTACCAATTTCCATCACTAGGTGGCACTCTAAATCTTTCTACAATAGAGAAACTAAAGACAATGTTGCCTATCCTTGGTTAGGATTTTGACACAGGAGATTATTGTTGCTTAAACATCTATTCTTCATTTTTATAATAAACAGATTCTTAGATTTAGATTAAAAAAAAAAAAGCTAATATTTTTATATCTCAAACGCAAACACTTTATATTGAATTGAACATCTATTAAAGGGTGAAAGGATTTTTTCTTGCTTTTTACAACCATTTACAGTATATGTAAGTATTATTATCTTTATTTATATCTTTAACTAAGTATATAACGGAATTTCTTTTTTATTTATTTATAACAGACGCTGGCAGTGGTCATAAGATCACAAAATCCCTCAAATATTTCAATCTTATCTTACTGAAAAGCATTAAGCAGTGAAACAATGAAAACTTTTGAAATTTCTACTCTCAATTATAAATCAAGGTTTAGAGCGTTGAGTTTCAGACCTTTGCAGAGGTAGATAAGATCTGTGGAAAAAATCACTTTGGCATCTAAGTATCGGCCGATGATCAAAAATTAAGGAAATCAAGCAAGATAAATGATGTCAGAAATCATGTCAAAAGTGGAAGAAATATATTAAATATAGGACGATACAGATAAAACCTAATCACAATATATATTTTTTCAATTCAGTTTAAAATAAATAATAAAAAAATAAGAGAGAGAAAATAACTGCCAAAAATGCTTGCAACTGAACCCTTTACAAACTTATGGCAATTATTTTGCCATGTTTATAAAACACTTCTTGTGAAAAATGAAGGAAATGGTTGCTTTTAAATAACAAAACACATACAACTTAATTATTACAGTCTATTATTGCAGCAAAAGCTCTAATAATATACCGTTATGGATATCGAAATATCAGAAATGTCATATTACTATTATTGACAGTTGGATATTAGTTAATTGTTTGACAGTTTTTCTCTGATCACTGCACTAAAAACATTGTTATTAATATCTTTAATGGTTCACTGTAGACCATGTCCTGTACGACGGGATCTTTTGTTTGTTCACATCGAAGGAACCTAATAGCCTGTCTGACCTCAGCAGGGAGTGAGGCTCTGAGGCCTGAGCATGAATAGGCCTTTAGAAAGCACTGGTTCCATGGGGAGTATGCTGACTCAGGGGGCTCACAGTGCACTGTCCCTCACCTCAGCAGCCCATGGGCCCAGTCTGGACTCCAAACTGTACAGAGAGCATGTGCACTTCCTAGAACACACTAAGAAAGATTTCAGCTTCCGGGTGTGCAGAAATTTTAAAAACAAGACCGAATCAAGGTATTTCCGATGCAGAGCGGAGTAGCGCTTAATGACGACCCAAGGTAAGAGATTTATCATGACTGTCCTTTTCCACAGTGTAGCATGGGTGCAGCTCTTCACCCACCCTCATGCATTTGTCTTGTACAGCATGTTGGCTCTGTGGAGGTGGGAGGGGACTCCAAATGTTCTGGATCACATGTCTATTTGGAAAAAAAAAAAAGTACGCTTGCCTGTGGGTGTAAATGGACAGGAGCTAATGCTGTGTACAGTATTGTTCTGGTGCTGCAGTGACCCAATGGCTGGGCTCTTCTAGATCTTTTAGCTTTGCAATGGGCCACTGTTAGCGTAGGTATCTGGATGGATCTGTCAAAGAATGGAAATATTAGAGGACTGTGAAACTGACCTTCGCTGGATCGTTTCTTCCTGCTCAGTCTACGTCGGTGATCTTAGCAAAAATGTTCTAGTTTCTTCTTTAGCCGGACCGTGGATCGCTGCAACCAAATTTGGCCTCACCATTTATGCCTTATTTAATCACGTACGTATGTTTCAGGGTTTTTTTTTCAGTCAGTGGTTCAGGTTGTTTCTAGTTTCCCGCGTGCTACATGTTTCTCTGAAAAGTCTTAGCAAAGAAAGTTTTCAACTTTGGAAATGTACGATGAGCCAGGGATATGTTCTAGTCAAATCTCAATTAGCAAGATATTACATAATATGGTAAGAGCTGACACTGTGTAAATATGAAAGCCTTTTTTTTGTTACAGATTTTTTTACTTCATTTGTGTTTTCTGTCTTTTAGCAAGAAAAATAAGGATGGCCAGACGCGGGAGCAGGACTATTCTTCTGAAAGCCATTACAGAATTGTTTTACCAGCATTCCAGTATAAGATGAGCCACCAGCAAGTGGGGAAGTGCATCATCATCAACAACAAAAACTTTGATGCAAACACGGGTATGGCAAACCTGTTTCACACTACGTATTTAATAACGTTACACACTTATTTATTTACACACCATTTATTGTTTGTTTGGATGAAGGTGTCTTTGCTTTAACGTTATATTTCGACAGGGATGAATGTACGCAATGGCACAGACCGCGATGCAGGCGAGCTGTTCAAATGCTTCAGGAACCTGGGCTTCGAAGTCATGGTTTATAACGACCAGACGTGTGAGAAGATGGAGAATCTTCTCAAACAGGGTAAGTAGTGCCTTTCTCTAATTTTGTATTTTATGGTTTATTTAATCAAAGAAACATCTTAAAAGTCTTCTTTTTTTTTTTTTTTTTTATAAAATCCCTAACCAACATTGTGTTATAATGATGGCTCAGTGATGTGGAATATTATTTTCTTTATATCTATGCTTTATTATTAGTGTAGGCTGTAAAGGACAATATTAACCTGTCTGAATATTAAGCAACTTTGTTCTTTTTTTATTTGATGGCTTAAATCACAAGAAACATCAATAGAAGTTAGAGCTGTTAAGCAAAAAATAATTAAACATGTTTTTTACAACATGTAAAAAAAAACTTGAATAATTCAGACTGTGAAAAGGTGAAAGGGAAAGAGGCAACAGGGAAAATGTTTTGCAAACTTGTTTCACCTTTTTTGTTTTAAATGTTCATAAAATCTATTTTACAGTAACTACTGCTACTATGCATGTTGCATGACGTTGCCTTTGTGTCAGCTGTTAATTGTCACTGCTGGAGCTAGAAAACAAATGTAGCTTCATTGTTTTCATTTGTCAAAGCCTTTAAAGATGCAACAGAATCAGCCTAAACTGTTGTTTGCAGCTCAAAGCTACAAAAAATCTGTAATGGTTCCTGCTCTGTTGCCATCAAATAAAAACTTAGGACACATTTAGTAAGCTATTGTTTCTTTTATCGTTCTTTGACAGCAAAACACAAATATTTGTGTTCACATAATATATTTGAATATATTTGTTGTTAAAATCTCATAGAAAAAAATGTTTTACCGGGTTTTTACACAGTTACGACAGAAAGGGGATTAAATATAGGAATAGCAACAAGTATTCTTAAAATGTGTTTTGTAAGGGATTATTTCAGTATAGAAAGAAAAAATATTGTCCAAGATAAAATTACTTCTACATGGATTTGCGATCTTCTCACCACCAGGCTTCCTGAAATTCAAATCTATTATTGTTTCTCTTGAAACTGCATAATCAAACAGCATTGATCAGTAGGTTTCATTTCAATTATTACTTATATTTCAGATTATTTTAATTGAAATGTAATCTAATAAAAATTCCATCGCTATAGCTAAAACAGTTTGGTTTGAAATAATAGCCCCATCTACACTACAATCTGAAAACCGATCCATGCCAAGTTCGGACTGAGCTTGGATCACTTAATCTTGCCGAGCTTGATTCCTTAAGACCGTTTACAAATCACGCTAGCACGGTTCCTCGCCTCATAGTGATGATCTACGGTACTACTGCTCTCTAGAGGTAAACCAGCGTACCAACATGGCGGTGGCCGTAACATTCAGGAAGTTTGCAGAGAGTCAGGCGAAGAAGGCAGCCTTTGGTAAATTTAGTTGACAGAGTCGGCTTTTCTGAAGTGGATATGACAAACAATAACCCAATCAAGGCTTACAGACGCAGGAAACAATGACAAAAGTTAAGGTTCATCACACTGCTAAGCAGAATCATCACTGGAAAACGTGAGGCAGGGTAGGGATGTCTGAAATTTCATGATTACGTAGGCTGACTGTAATGAGATGAAGCGGTCTGCTCCTGGGCTCTTTGTTATCAGAGAACTGAGCCAGAACTGAACGGCAATGAGCCCTACTGTTGAACTAGTACCGTGTTAGCGTGGTTCGGTTGTGTCTGGCATGGTCTGGTTCAGTTTGCGCGCCATTTACAATAAACAGTAATCTCTGTCACCATGCTCGGACTGCTCTCGGCATGGTTTCAAAAGGGTAGTGTAAATGGGGCTAATAAGAGGATACGCCCTTTTTCTACTATGTAGAGCCTAAGTAATCATTTTAGCTTTGTGTGTTTTGTGAGTAAGAGGATTTATTTATTTCATACAGCCTCAAAATTTGCTAATAGTTATTTTTTTGTGTTTGTGGGTCAGCCTCGGAGGAAGACCACAGCCAAAGCTCGTGTTTCGCTTGCATCCTGCTGAGCCATGGCGAGGAGGGAATGATCTATGGGACAGACGGAGCCATGCCCATCAAGGCCATGACCTCGCTGTTCAGGGGGGACAAGTGCAAAAGCTTAGTGGGGAAGCCCAAACTTTTCTTCATCCAGGTATAATGCTTTAAAAAATACCTTTATGTTTAAATAGAAGTATAATAAAATGTTGTTCTGTTGACTCCCTAGCTATTACGTAAGAAATACACCCACTATCTCTTTCTAACGTTTATATTTTTCCCCTTTTCTCAGGCTTGTCGAGGTTCTGAATTTGATGATGGTATCCAGACAGATTCAGGTCCACCTAACGACACCTTGGAGACAGATGCCAATCCAAGACATAAAATCCCAGTTGAGGCAGATTTCTTGTTTGCGTACTCCACTGTCCCAGGTAAGATGCATTTTTAGTGTTAAATAAAATAAAATAAACCCTTCTGTTCTACATACTATTAACCCTTGACATTCTTTAGGATATTACTCATGGAGGAACCCTGGCCGGGGCTCCTGGTTTGTTCAGGCCCTCTGTAGCGTCCTCAACGAGTTTGGCAAGCAGCTGGAGATAATGCAGATCCTAACACGGGTCAACTACATGGTGGCCACCAGCTTTGAGTCCTGGTCTGAGGACCCACGTTTCACTGAGAAGAAACAGATTCCCTGTGTGGTCTCTATGCTGACTAAAGAACTGTACTTCAACTGATATCCTGCCTGCACTGTATGACACGGACTGACCAGACTGACTAGACCGGCTGTTTAGGGCGATGAGCAAGCAGTCAAAGCATTCAGGGATGATTCAGGCCCAGCGGGACTCAGCACACATCAGCGTGCCGCATTTGGGCCTGAAAACAAGCACTCCATGACGTAATATCTAACAGTGACACTCTGAGTTCATGTGTTGATGGTTAAACTCCTCTTCAGGTCGCCCCTTTGAAATAACATTGTCACATTTAAGCTGATCGTTGTTGACAGGCATTGTGGAATATATATGTATGATCTACTTACCCACAAACTCAGCTGCCAGTTTCTTGTGGGTTTGTGGAATCATATCTGAATATGTGTTTCTCCATTTTCCAGAACTTTCAAAATATGTTAGGAGATCATAGCTCATAGACCTTTACAAACAAAAACATAGTTTGTCTAATTAGCACTTATTTCACATTGGCTGTTTCTGGCACATGTCAGGACAGGTCTACTAAATAAGACATTACTTAATAAGACATTACCTTGTTCTAGATTCTGAAATATTTCTACCAAAACAAATTGGATATCTACCCCCTTTCCCTACCTGTTTATTTTGTAGACCTTATAGTGTTATTTACAGGATTGGAAGTTTTTTTATTCAGGCCATCTCTGGTGATTTATTTGAGCGAAATATTGACATTAAATTTGTGCAACAAAATGATTGTGCAGTAATTTAAAAAATATATATAAAAATATATATTTATGCACGTTAACAGTAGATTATGTTTTTATTTAGGTGTTTTCCATACAGTAGGACATGATTTAACTCTTATGACAAAATATATTTAAAAGTTAGATGGTTTATGAATAGTATATATATTTATTTATTTTTTTCTTTCTTTTCGAATGGTTAAAAAAAAGTTTGGGAACAACATGTTTTGAAAGTTTTGAGCATAGGAATTGCTTTTTTCCTTCTTTTTTTAATAAAAATGGTCAATGATCCCCCTTTTTGGCTAACTATAGCATTTCTGCTCTCTGCATTGACAAGACTTATCGATCATTTGTCATACAGCATAATCCTTTTCCAGTCAATTGTCTCCAAGCAAAACCTGCAATTTAAGACTTTTGCTTTTAACATTCTGTAATTAACTGACTAGTTGGTTTCTATGCAGGTAATAATGTATAGGGAATTTCCGCAGTCAGTACACTATACTGAAGGGGAAAAATATAATGTTAGGGAAAACTATAAAAGAATAACATTGAGTGAGTAGTTACTTCCCCTATTTTTTTTAATTTTATTTCCTGGTAAAAAAAAAAAACAATAAGTCTCATATAGACCCTCATACCTAATAAGTTAAAGGTCCTCTAATCTGGAAAATGGAGCGCATCATTTTTAGATATCCATGTTTTTACAGTTTCCGTTCCCAGATGTAATTGTTAAATAAAAAAAAAAAATGCAAACACTCCTTCCACAGCAGTGTCACAACGCTCTTCCGTAAGCCTCAGCATCAGAGCCTTACAGCATGCTGGCATCCTCAGGTTCTTTCATGTACCATCAAATTTCCTGTTTATTTTTTTAAACTATACATGGTGGCTAAAAAGGTGTGATCTTTTTGCTGTGTAGTGATTTGTTCTTAGCAACTTAGGGATGAGCATGAAGCACAAACAGTTGGGCTGGAATTTCTGCCTCCTGGTTAGCTGGTTTGTTCAGACCTGAATTAGTAAGATTTGTATTCTCAATACTCCAAACTGCACTTATTTTATTTTCACACAGGTCCAAGAAAATAATTAGATTTTTTCTCCTTTTTTTAAATCAGTTTTATCTTACATCATTAAATGTTTGCTTTACGACCAAGCTAGAAATTTAAGACAATCAAAACTATAGGAAATATTGAAGATGAACGTGGACCCAGAGCACATCTGACATGATTTCACTGTATATTAGTGTTGTGCTACACCGTCTTCATTAGTGTGTAGTCATTCATTAGATATCGCTTTTTTCTGCTGTTTTTATTTATCAGACTTTGTTTTTATCCTACAAAAAGATGAAGGAAATTTGAGGCACTTAGTGTACTTTGATTTAAAATACGCATCTTGTGATGACATAAATTGGTTGATATTGGTTGTATAATAAAATCTAGAAATATCAATGCGAAAAAACGACATTTGGTTGTTTTATTGATAACCTGCCGATAACCTGTTATTGTTTTAAAGTCACAGAGGCAGCTATTTTGGTCATATTTAATATTAATTTACACAATCCACATTTCTAGTGTGCACTCTTGACTGTTTTTGCTTTATTACTAGAATTCCATGTATTGGTATAATGGCAGTAGAGGGACATCATTTATATATATTTTTTTATTATTCTGCTCCTCAGTAACTTGTATTTCTTTTTATAACCTTAACATGATTAGTGCCAAGAGGAATACTTGCTCCACTTGTTTTGGAATGAAAATAAAGCAGGATTTTTTTTTTTTTTTTTTTTTTTTTTTTTTTTTTTAAAGCCCTTAGTGAGAAATTTTTTTAAATGCTTTCCAGTTTTTTAAATGCTGTGTTCCTCGTGAATGAATTTGAAAAGATTCAAATTTACCGTTAATGCTTAATTTGGGCCAGTTTTTAATTTCTCGGCAGTTCACTGTTTAAAAAGAAAAGGAGGACTGCTTTTGTAATCACTTTACTGTATTAAATATTAATTTATTATGTAATGAAATTTGTGCCTTTTGTTTAAGACCACATTAAAGGGTAGTATTGATGTCCAGAGTTCGTTTCTGTTTTTGTTTTATTCTATTCAGAACACTCCACAGAGTTTCTATAGATATCCTTGGAAGTCTATTTAACATTTTTTATTTAACATATGGGGCAAATTCAAAGAAACCATGTATTCTAACCAGGCTGCAGTACCTTAGGAAGATGATCAGGAACTCAGCGTCACAAAAACTTTCATCTGAAAAGTTTTGTTTTTGTCCAAATGCACCTTTAGTTAAAATGTCCTTGCTAGCTTCACATAGAAACGGATCATACAGAATTACACTACCTGTTGTCTTTTCAAACACTAACTTAAGTTTAAGTATGAATAACTCAGATGTTTCAGTGACATTTATTCTGAAGGAATTGTAGGTCTTAGCTTGTTTTTGGTGAAGTGAAGCGTCAGTGGTTCTTAGTGACATCAACACCTTTATAAATGCTGAAAAACTTCCTGTAAGCCAGTTTAGACCGGCCTAAGGAGATGCAAGAGTTCAGGTTTTGTCACAAGTTAAGAATGAAAGATCCTGCTGATATAAACCTGTCCCAGCAGAACTAAATGACTTACTAGCTCTCTTTCATTTCCACCTCAGAGAACGGGACACTTGCAGTTCGTCTCTTTATGTCATTGACTGTTTTTGATGCAGTTTTGCAATGGGACACCATTTTAAGAAAAAAACGGATGTAAAGTTTGCAAAATAATCTTTAAAAATACCCTCAGATTAATCCTAAAGTGCATAAAGAGTGCAGACTGAATCTAGGTCATGACAAAAGAGAATGGATCCCTTTTAAAGATGAGAAGAACTTGCATTACTTTCTAATAAGCAGAAAGTTTCTATGAGCAGCAAATAAACAGAAACCAAATACTAGGTACTCTCCAATTCATATTTCCTCCACAACACAAAGAAAAGGAAATACCCTTGGCATTTCTGGTATCCACTGACTCAGGTCTGGTAAATTCTAATGCATGGGTGGATTTAGATCTGAAGAATCATTGAATACTATCAAACACTGAACAATAATCTTCACTTTCAGTTATACATATCTTTTCTCATTAGAATAACTTTGGATCTACATTTGTTGGCTCGATTCTATAATTAAATGGTTGGGAAAGGGAAGTTGCATATAGAAAGCAGGGTTTTTGCATCCTTGAGACCCTACAAATGTCACTGCTTTGAAACTTCATCTAACACTTTAAGTCTCTGAGCATGACCCTTAACCACAGATTGGATGCCACTAATAGTGTAGCAGTGCACTACTTACTAAGGGAATTACTTTAAAGCAGGAGACATATATCAAATAATACATTTCTTTTAAGTTTTGTGGCTTTTTTCTCTTCTCTATTTTTGATTCTCTAGTTTAAAGTGTGAGCTTTTTAATTACGGTAAGTTAAAGCTGAAAATAATTAAGGGTATTTCTCAACCTGGTTTGCAGATCATGAATCTGAAAAATCTTGCTTTTTTTATTCTCAGCACAACAGCTGAATATCAGATTGAATAAAAAAACAACCTTCCCTTCCCACTTTCCATTAAAAACCCAAATTAGTGTTTTTCAAATAACGACTGTCTTTACTCCAATCATTTTTAAAGACCATATTTCATGCATGACAAAAATAATCTGATTTACACTCAGATTAAAAAAGGACCTTCTTCAATATGTTTGTAGTATCTTTCAGTGCCTTGTTGTAAACTGTGAACAGGACTTTTTATGGTTGTCTTAAATACAGGTTTTCCTCTCAATATCCCTCTTAAAAGGCCACATGTGTGGAGTGCATAACTAATAAATACCTCACTAACAAATCCTCCCACCTCCTGCAAAATTACTTTTTTATTAATTTCTATTTTTTCGATTAGCATTATTTTTTCTCCTTTTCACGATTTGCTCTAAGGAAAGAGCAACAGGATGATTAAGTCAACAGGGTAGCACCTACTGTTGATGTCTGCTGCTCCTCTACAGATAGAATGGCATTATTGACCTAATTTGCTAGTCGTTTACTACAGTTCTAATAAAAAATCTCTGAGGTTTTCAGTTTTATTTAATACGAACACAACAGAGTAAAATAACTGGATGCCAACGCAAACAAAAGGTTCCAGTTTTTTATATGGAAAACAGTTGTAAATCCATGCAATAAATGTTTTTCCCAATGTTTGGTCCATAGAATTATACATAGGAAACGTTAAAAATGTCAAGGCTTCTGCTATTGTGGCACTACTATATGTTGGCAGTAGGAGACTACAGTCTCATGTAAACAGATGGAATTTGCTCAGATAATGAAGATTAATAGCGCTGCAGATCGTTTCCTCCTTGTATGCCCCAATGATTAATTTACCCCTTGTTTAATTTTCGGGAACAAGTTGTTCAATAGCCCTTTCAAAAGTGGAACACAATCATTGAAGAAAAAACAAAAATCCCCAAACTGCAACAAGGTGCTTTTATGCCTTTTTTTTTATTAAGTTGACTGAGTGTGACAAGCAGAAATAATTGCAAGGGCAATTGTTTTTATCAAAGAAAAAGTCTGAAACAAATAAAAGTGCATTTTGGAATTCATAACTTAATTAACCTTCAAGTGGACTTGCTGCAGAAGCACAAAGATGCATGTTCCAAATCTAATGATAGATGAGAAAGCATGACCCTGCAAAATGCAATCTCCCCTGGTGAGGCATGTTTTAGGACATAATGTTCAGAGTGGTAACCTGACAAAGACGAATGACTGCTGAAGAAATTCTCTGTCTCATCAATATGCTGCACAGAATACCTGATTAAAGTCAACCTTTGCACCGTGTGCATGAATCTGCAAACAAACAGCAACGAATGACAGAAACCAGGCACCAATGTGAGACGTCAGACTTTTGAGCTGAATTGTTCTCTTTTTGACAGCTGGAACTCATCTGTCAAACAGCATTACTGGTTTGCTGGTATTCCTGCCTGCTTAGCTGCAGGTCTCACTGATTTGTTTGTCTTTGCAGACACTTTTGACTTTACATTCTAATGAGCATGAATCATGGGGAGACTGAGACATTCAGACAAAGGAAAGTTCAGCGACTTCCATTTTTTTATGTCTTTTTCAAGACATTGCAGTCGTGTTTGCATTGTGATGCTGATGTATTTCTTTGATGGGATGCATATCTAAGTATCATGTTCATGGTACTGAAAGAAGAAGACATGTTTATTAGGAACAGAGGAGGCATAAATACCACAGGCATTTGGTTCCAGTGTGTTCGCGAATGCACACCAAGACTAAATACTAAGCTGCAGCTACAGATATGTGAAACCCTGAATAATATTCACACACAGCACTGACTGGATACCTAAGGGATACCTGCTGCTCTTGAAGCCAGATGTTTACTTTGGTTGTCTTTTCTCTGCTGTTTTGTTCCGTTTTCTTCTTCTCTCGTCTCATGCAGGTGCAGAAGCAGACTTCTAAAATATATCTTATATCTTCTGCGTTGTTTTTTTGTTTTTGTTTTGGTGGTTTGGTTTGTCATTTCTCTTTTCTCTCCTCACTATTCTTCATCTCTTTCTCTCTCTCCTTAGTTCTTATCCCTTCTCCCCTTTCTCACCCCCCTTTCGTCTCTTTGTCCATTTTAAATGATTTTATTCTCTAATAAATTTTCAATAAGGTTTCTTGTATAATTACTAAGCAGAACCTTATGACAACCACCATAAAGGCCAACTTGTGAAAGCAAATCCGGTGGGCTATCATCTTGCTCTGGAACATCAATTTGCAGACCTATGTTAGAAAACACAATAAAGAGGACAGGGCAAAAATATTAAACTTAAGTGAGAAAAAAAAAGACTGAATCTTGTGGCTCCCCAATTAAAAAAAGAACCAAATTGGGACATAAAATAATCTATATCAAAAACTTCCTTGAATGTTTTTTTTTTTTTTTTTTTTTTTTACAGATTGTATGAGGAAAAAAGTTTTCAAATTATGAACCATGTTCAACACATTTAAAGGCAATTCTGGAAAAAAATAATTCCAAGTCAGTAGTGATAAAAAAAATTATTATGTGTTATTATATATAATTTGCACAGAAGATGACATTTCAATCAGGACCTTTATAAACCAGCAATCGGGGAAAAAGAGATATCTCCCACATAAATACTAAATTTGGTTTTCTTACTGTTATGATTCTACATGTAAAATAAAAAGGGATTTTTTTTAACATTTATGCTTATTTACTGGTTTTGTACAATTCATAAAGAAAGCTCCACTTATATAATTATAGTATGTGCATACAAAAGCTGTTCAGTCTTACAGATGCTGTTTTGTGCAGAACCGGCCCAGGTACAGACAGAGTGACGTCAAATGGGCCAAATTAAGCCCTCTCCCAATGACGTCTATTTAAATTAATATTAATGTCCCAGCACATACGCACAGAGCCCCTTAAATCTGCCAGTAAATTAGACTGACCCCTTTCTCCACACTGCCTCTGCTGCGCTGCATCTTTAAAATCTGACAGCATGGAGATAGTGTCAAAGGGCAGCAGGGTAACATGGGCTGTAATTACAATGTCTATTTGCTGACATGGCCCATTTTTTGCAATAAAGTTTCTTCATTAAGGGCTGAAAATGTCTTTCCTCAGATTTCGATCCTAAATTTATTTTATTTTATAATCTGCAGTTATGTTGAGTACTAGATGCATCTTAATTAGTGTTACTTAGAGCCTAATCTTTTTTTTTTTTTTTTACCTTTTCACCTTTTTTATGTTAATGAGCAAATATTTTCTGTGTAATTAGGTTTAAACATGAACAAAAATCACAAAGCTGTATGTTAAATGGAAAGTAGAAAGGAAAGGGTATGTATGTATGTATGTTTTCGACAAGTTCCTACTGTATATGGCACATGACCGACCTTCAGCAAATAAATCTGGTTGAGATGTGGTTGAAATGATGTCGGTTGTAGTTTTAAAGTTGAATAAATCTAAAAAATGAACTTTATAATTGTAAAAATGTTAACAAAATCCACATAAATCAATGTTAAATCAACATGCAACATGCATTTTATTTATAATACTACACAACTTCTAAAGTTACATTTTTGTAATATCCAAAGTTTGTAAATGTGATTTCTAAAGCCACTACAGGATATACAATATGAAGTTCCTTAAAATTGGAATAGTTATTGTATAATTTCTTATTTTCTCTGAAAAGTGAAACAATATTACAGTATCAACATTGATATATTTCAAAATATGTCTGGTGGGTTCATTTTAACAAAAATCTGAAAAGTGTGCACTATCATTTAAACTTGGAGAGATTCACCCAGAGCTGCAGTTATAAATATTTTATTGACATAAATGAGATAAGATCTTTGGCGCTCAGGCCCTGGTTGAAGACTTTGATGCTGAGAATTGACATCCGCTTGGGTGAGAAACCTCGTAAAATGATTAGCGCAGAGTTCCCCCAGGGGCCGAACACTGGTGCCGGAATAAATCAGACAGTGAGCGGGACTGAGACTAGTCTGAGATTGAGGGAGGAGATCGGGTGGAGGTGGGTCAAAGTTCATTGGCGTGCAGGAGAGAGAAGCTAGGCCAGAAGGAAAATGAAAGGGATCTTGGAGGTGTGGTCGCGTGTTGATTAGCTGGAGCTGAAAAAGGACGTTGGAGGAGGTCCAGGTGAAGTTTGATAAGAGCCTTCCAGATTAAATTTTCGCTTTAGCTTCATTTGTTGCAAAAACATCTGCAGGTAGATAAAGACCCTTAGAAGATTTTAAGAAAATAATTTCTTTGCACTGGCTATATGTATGATGTAGTTTTACCTTTGGAAGGCAAATCCTAATCTCAGTTAATATCAGACTCAAAAAATCTGAAAAAACGTTTTTGCAAAGTAGAATTTTATACAAATACTAGGAACTAGCATTGACACTGAGGTGCTACAGAGAGACACACCTCAGCTTTCTAACCACCGTTGGCGTCTCTGCTATATGAAAAGCAACCTCAGACATAATGTTTCCATCTCCACATATTACTGTGGGTTAGTCTGTTTAGGTTGATGTCCCGGTTTTTCTTTTTACACCACACAAAACATTTTGCATTTTACCTCATAATGATAAAAGAATTTATATGAGGGTTTCATGAGCAAGTTCCTGCTCTGACATCACTAAGCTATTAACTCATTAACTGGTTTTGGAATTAAAGGTAAGTTACTTTGAGTGACAGCAGATGCATCTAAAATAGATTATCTACTGATAATCTATTATCTATACGGATGTGTGTAAAATGTAAATATTTTGCAAGTATGCTAAAAACTTTTTCATCTCTTAATCCCAGCTATCAGTGAAGCAGTGGGAATAAAAGATAAAAGACAATGCATGCTTGTGTGAGAGAATCCTTACTTTTAATGATGCGCTCCACGAACAACTGAACTGTGAAATTAAGGGGTAATTTTCCACAGGAAACCTGTGCCTAAATAAAAGCTTCTTAGTTTTGCAGTCTCAAAAAAAAAACTAAACAAAAAACCAGACTGCCTCTGAAACAGGCCTGCAGCATAAAACCTGAAAGTCCAGTTCTCCAGATGATCGAGTCACTGGTTGTCAGGTACAAAGAGCCGGCAGCCCCATTATCAGCTCATTCCTTTCTGAGTAGCATCTCTGTGCAGGTAAGGACAGTGTGCTTTGTTTCCTATTATTTCCTTGTGTCTTATACCTGTTTTAAACAGCAGGCTTGTACTACATCTGAAGGTGCTTCTGATCTTAACAACATTTATTTTACCTATCTTACATCATTTTAATGTTTTGGTTATATGATGGTGTGAAAAAACACTCTTTATCCTGATTGGCTCCATACTTTGGACTTTGGTTGTGATCCTTGCTTCTGTTGGTTTCCTCCAAGGAAATTAATATGAATTTATACGTTCACTAATGAAGTTTTGCAATGACACTGAAAGCTGTGCTGTTTTTATTTAGGTTGGGATCATCAAAATGGCTAAAGGAATTCAGGTAATATCGTGTTTCCTGATCTTTTAAATGTATTGGTTTAAATATTTAAAGCGTTGATTGACCTTCTGTACCTCTTTTTTACCTCCATAAATACATTGACAGCTTTGGTTTGAATGTTGTCATTTGCCTTTTAGGTGTTCTCACTTTGCTTTTTTTTTTGCTAGTTGTAATAATGCTTAATTTTCGTACAATAATAATTATTATTATGAATTTCTTGAATTCTTTTTGACCCTCTAAAATGAATTTCTTTTCAATTAAATAGATTTTCAATAATAATAATAATAATAATGAAAAAATAGTACTCCACCTCTAAACAATAGTTTTATCTTGCAGTGAGTGCAGTGTTTTACAAGCCAATTACAGATGCAACAGAAATCATGTCTGGGTACCTGTTTAAGTCTCCTCCCCCCAAGTTTCTTAAGTCAGAGGTGACTGACCTTTTCTCATTTTTACTGGATTTTTGTGCAGGTTGTGCTTGCCTTTTTTATTGAATATCAAATATTTTATTTCTCCACTGCAGTGGAAGAGACGCTACTTTGTTCTTTTTAAAACCAATGAGCACGACTACCAGTTTAGATACTTCAGGAGTGCAGAAGACAAGGGGACCCCACTTGGAAACATAGATCTGACACAGTATGTTCAGCATCAGACAGCTGCTTTTGCATGTATCTGAGGCTTATTTGGTGCCTTTAAAAATGTTTTGGGAGGTTGGAATAACACTCTGTTGCTCTGCCAGGATCTCCTTGTTATATGAGAGCCCTCAGCATCACCAGAAATGGCCATGGGTCCAGAAGACATTTAAATGCTCCCCCTCATGTGTGCTCTACATCAGGGCAGGAAATCGGGACTACTTCCTTATTGGGGACACCAGGTGAGTAAGCATTTATTTTCAAATTTCCATAAGATATACTTTTTATGCATTCCTTTCATTCCTAATATAGCATATATTAATCTCAATTTATACTTATTCAACAACCTTTTCTGTATATGCATGAAAAAGCACTAGTATAGGTGAATGATGTTTTCTATTTCCTTGTTTTACCTGAATTTGAATTCTATGGAGGCACAGCAAAGATTGTGGTTTGATCAGTTTTTAGGTGAAAGCCCTTAGCTTCATTTTTGGTTTTTTTCCATGAAACACTTCCTCATGCGTGAATCACCAATCACTTTCCTAGATCGACCTTGGTCAAACTAAATGATGGTGCTCTCTTACCCTTTAAATCATCCAATAATGGCTTTCCCACTAAATAAATCTCTGCTAAGTGTAACCTTTTCATTATGGACTTGATTTCTGGTATTGAATTTAAAATAAAAATGTCCGAGATGTAATTTGTTGAGTCTCACAACTGCTTTTTTCCCCCTTTCAGCACGGAGGTGGAACGTTGGTTTAAAGCCCTGTATGACGCCCTGAACAATCGGCCTCATAGACTTCTCAGTTCAGAGGTGCATTAAGCTTTTAGTGCTTTTCCATTTTTCCATATAAGGCTTTTTAAATTCTCTTATTTTGACCAATTTTGGTTACAAACAAGATCACTGCCATTTACCCTACTTGTTTCTTTATCTTACTCCTTTAGGAAATCAGCAATGGGCAGCCAACTGTTGACGTAAGCATTTGGAGTTGATTATATGTTTTTCTGATAAATATTTAAACACAGCTTTGAGATTCTTAAAATGCATGTTATGGTAACAGTTAAAATATGAGCAACTTGGTGACTAATTACTGAAGATACTGGGAAGAATTAAATATATTTATAATGATTGGATTTTATATGATAAACAAACATTAAGTAATGCATAATTGCATAAAGTAAAATAAAATTAATTTATGGTTTTCCTTTTTCAGCTTTATAAGTTAAAAACCAGAAAAAATGTTGTTTATGTGTATTTAAGCTTTCTGAGTCAAACCCCTCTCAGCAGCAATCAGAGCTGCAAATGTTATAGAGTGTAGTTCTGGCAGCTTCATGCATCTCCTTCCACAAATCGACTGTGTCCCTTTAGGAGTTTTTCACCGCCGTCTCTCTCTCTCTCATCTGCAGTTTTAGTCTCACTAGTTTGTGAGTTTTCCACTAAATAGATGGTTGTCTGTGAACAGTCAGCCTCTGCAGCTTCTCCAGAGTCGCCAGAGGCTTTTTTTTTGTTAAATTTCTCATTTCCCTTGACTGTCAGTTTAAGCAGACAGCCAAGAGGGTTTATATTTATATGCCATGTTCCTTAGTTTTTGTAAGGCTGTTTTTTATTCATGTTCTATAATAGATTTCCATAGACAAGTTGTTCTATACTAAGATTACTCACAGTTAGATTGTATTTTTGCTCTATTTTATTTAGGGTTGTCAGAGTTAAGGAGGCTGAATACACATGCCAGCCATACTTTTCTATAGTTGTAAAGCCCTTTAAAAATATAATTTTACTTTTAGTTATATAACCATAAACCCACAAAAAAAAAAACAATGATGTTTCTAGTTTTGGATCAATGTGCACATATTTAAAGGGTAAAAATATTTCAGCGGTTTTGTCCCAAAACTGTGGTGCTATTTTATTTCCTCAGTCAGTTTGCTCCCTGCTCCTTTTCCTCATTTTAGCACCTTCTTTTGACTATTGAGCCAATGGGACAAATTAATTTCTTCACTTTGAGATCAATAAAGTCTATCTTATCTTATCTTTTAAAATCTTAAATCCCCAAACACTTTTGCAATAACAAACTGTCTGAATTTCACTGGAATTTAAAAAAAAATACCTTTCCTTTCCTAATCTGTTAGATAATTACAAACCCTCTTCTTCACCAGAGAAAGAAATCCAACACTGATAATGACAGGGTAAGTCAGCAGTTAATAAAACTCTGTTTTCTCCAGCCTGTGTAAGACTACCAATTAATCAGAAATGCAAACTTCATGTTATGGGATCTCTGGTGAGCATTTTTACTTAGAGCTTGTTAGCCAGGAGCTTAGCCAACATTTGCAGCCAGATCAGCTGCAAAGCCTCTTAGCAATGGAGGTTTTTATGGTACTCGTGGTAATTTGTCACAGCATAAATGTGTTTAAAATAAATCAAAATAAGATGCATAACTCTACAAAAAAGATTTGGTTTAAAGCTTTATTTTACAGATTCCAAATCCAACTTGTCTTGTGTAAAAATGAAACACTATCCTTTCTTCTCTCTTTCACTTCTATCGCCACAAATGCTCTATATCAGCCGCTGTCATATGAATGAACTTTGGACATTAAGAGCAGCATGCATCAACAAGATTAAATGTCATCTTACCTTGGCTTTTAGGAATTTGAACTTTTTTTTATAAAACAAGAGTTCATTGCAAAAAGGGGGACTTTATTGTGAATTTATTCTAATCAACACAAGGTCAAAAACATACATATACTTCTACAAACGTTTAGTTAAATACCCCACAGTAAACTGGTTTCATGGTTACCTGCTTTTTCCGGCCTAGTTCTGGAGAGATATGTCACCACTCCTTTTGTTAGAACTGGTTATGTTCACCTGGTTTGCTGGCACAGTTCTGGCTTTTTAGCATGAATCATTATTTCCCCATTCCAAAACCAGCTTTGATGAGCACTTTGTTTGAGCTGGTGATTGAGGTGAAACTGGAAAACTAAGCGGCATTCTAGTTCACAAGAGCCAACTGCTTGAATTAGAAACTGTTCAAAGTTGTCGCATCCATTCTAAAAATGCATTTAGGCTGCAAATGCAGTTTGAAACTGGTTTAGCAACAGACAAATTAATCTTATGAAATTACCATTCCTAAATTCCTCAACCCAAATGAACAAATGTGAAAAACACCTAAAAACAGTTTGGTGCCAAAAAACCAACCAGTTCAGTGCAAGGAAGCAACCTATCTGCTAGTCCTCTCTTTGTTTTAGGGAAGGTTTTCCCAATCTTTTTTGACTTGTGTACCCCTTTGTGAATTTTTTCTTATCATGAGCAATGCTCTCTGTCAAAAGTATTGATGATTGTCCAAAAGTGGAACGTCTAATTCTAAGGTATTTTATTCTTTCCATATAAACTAAAAACAACATTAATATGCTGCCTGAAAGTTAGTAAGGAATCAAAATAAATGCCATATAAAATCATATTATAAACCTTTATTTATAAATCTGGAGCTCCTCTGAGTAACTCTCCCATAATCACTTATAAACTTGATGAATTGTGAACAAAATACTAAACAAAAGTTATAGTCAGACTGACTTAATTAGTTTTACTTTGTTTTCATCAAGACACATGAGCTGCTTTGATGAGCTCAGTGTGAAAATCATCTGATACTGGGCTGTTCTCTACATCCAGTCTGTTCCTCTGCTTGGTTTTAATGTGTGTAAAAACATGAAAAAAAGTACTTTTTTGTTGATAAAAGCTTGTTTAATTTTTCAATTGGGTCCTCACAAAACAAAACAGATCCCAGTCCTATTTTACTCTACTACCTAAGAAATAAAATATTTTAATGTACCCCTAGCAATGCACTGACGGACCACTAGGTGGGCATCACTGCCGTAGGGGGCTGGTGCTGATCTTCAGCGCTCCTTCGGTCCTCTGTGGAGCTGATGAGCATAATATCTGGTTAAAATTTCCAATTCACAATGCATTAAAACCAAAAAGACAAGCTGTGACTAGCAGACCTCAGATCAGGTTAAATCAGTATGAAAACATGGAATAATTCAGTTTTCATGACAGAAATCTCTTTCTCTAAGTGATTTCATATTGGTGAGACTGTATAATGTACTTTCTGGGTTGCAGGTACCCTTTGTAAAGAAAGAAGACAATTCAAAGAAAGACAAAAACAAATTGACAGTTGAGGTATATCCTTATTTTTTTTTCTTATCTCCTTAACTCATGCAAACACTTGTACAACTGTAAGTGTTTGTTTTTTTGTGTGTTTCAGCCATCACAGAAGATGAGGTCCCTTTCTGACCCGTCCTCCAATGCTGCAGAGGGAAACACAGAACTGGTACATCTTAGAAAATGGTGGGAAAAAATGACTTTTGGTTTGGGAAGCTTATTATTAACAATCGTACTGCTTTCTGATTGTTTGCTAGGATCCAGATTACAGATGGTCTTTCCCATCCAATCCAATCGAGTCACTCTACGACATTCCCAGGTGTGACCGACTTAAAGAGGTTGGTACTATGTTGAATATGAGTTTTATTACAATTCTAAACTGTCTCATTAATCATTATTATTATTTTTTTTCTTTTAATTCAAAAAGATGCCAAAACAGCCATTTATGGTCCCCGTGAGAAGTTTGCTCAGTCATAATTCATATAAATGTCGTTCATTTCTTAGATTTTCGTTATCCGGTGCTCAGCTATAAACAACACCAATATGAGTCCTATATCTTTTAGGGTTGTACTTTAATCTTGTGTTTTTTGCCCATCAGCAGGCTTCTTGCATTATTCTTTTACCCAGAATCAATTATATCTGCTATTTTCTGATCTGGACTCAGCTGTGATCAGTATTAGACTTGGAGATGTAGATAAACTTTATTAGATTTTTGTATACACAGTGTGTATGCAAAAAGAAAATTTGACAGCTTTCACCAGTGAAATTAACATTACCTATTATAAAGTGAAGCAGTGATCAAGAATGTAGACAGTTTAGGAGAAAATGAAAACCAGTTTAAAGTCATGGTGCAAAAGGCATTGATATGGAAAGGTTCACTGCAGTGCAAAATATATATATATATATATATATATATATATATATATATATATGGTGCAAAATGCAGTAGAACATTGAGTTGTGTTTGATTTAAAGGGGTTACGAAAAAAGGGATTATTTAACAGAATTATTATTATCCTGCCTTATTAGCTCGGAAACCGGTTGTCGTTAATCAAGCTGCAGCACCCAGTTTGTTCTATGTTTTAATTGGCCAGCTGTTGGTGATATCAACTTAAAGAATCTGAAGGTGTTTCTTCATTTTTAATTTTATTCCGCTGTGTGCAATGAACTAGAACCAATTGCATGTAGCACAATTCTGCTTCCTCTACCATGTTCGATGTTGGTTAGTCTTTTTTTTTTCTCTGTAACTTTAAAAAAAATATGTATTAGTATATTCTGATCACATTTTCCAGGGAGCTATTCCCAGTTTCTTATAGTATCATGAAACCTGTTTCCCAATTTATGGCAGGTTCAAACCATGGTGGCTTTCATGTTATTCCTGAACATCTTAATTCCAGCAATGCCTAAAAAAATAGGAAACAACTTTATTTGCCTAATGATGCATTTCAGCTTGCGGCCTTTATTGGCTCTTTTTGAGGGCAACAAACCAAAGCAAGCTGATCAGCAAATGAAGTTATTTCCTCGCACTTCAGTTGCTGTTGGTGTCCTTATTTCATCAGTTTTCGTGACTATCTAATTGCCTCTTGGAGCCAGTGAAGTTGTGCCAAAAGCAAGACAGTTATGAGTCAGATAGCTAAAGCATATTCGGTTTCGGTTAGATTCTGACCTCAAACCTGTTAGAAAATAAACCTTTTGAATTTGGGTAGAAGCCATCTGCAAGTTAGGAAACCACCTAGCCCAGGGACATGCTGCATTTCCAAATTTCAGTTGTTGCTCACATGTACATTTGTAAACTAGAGAGCTTCCTTAATAATTTCAAACTAATATGTTTACTTCTTGTTTTTAAAAAGAAATAACGGAGGTTTTTGTATATTCATGCCTCTTTGAAAACAGATCTGCTCCAATTCGTCTGTAAACAGTATGTTATGCCCATTGCAAATGAATGTAAACTCTCTGTACATGTATGCATAAAGACCATTAGCTGGTTCATAATAGATTTATGTCTATGTATGTAATAGATTAGGAGTGGGGTGATGCGGCCAAGGAGCACGGATTCAATGTGAGTGCCTGCTAATGCTTTAATTTAAACAAAATCGACACAATTCAGAGGCTAACATTTTCAAAATATGTTTCTTTAAGATATGAACCGATGATAGCATTTGAATGCACTAAAGAACCTCGAGCAGAGTGAGTCCTTTCTCTTTTTTTACACTATGATTATGCAGAAAAACTTGCTTCTTTTTTTTCCTGCTGTTGTGCAACGGCTTAAAATGTGGCTTTCAGCGACCGAGAAGTTGAAATGGTTACCAATGGCACCCTGATGAGGTCCATCTCTGCTGTCTATGAAAAATTCAAAGCACAGAGATCATCTTTTCTGATATCAGAGGACGCCCTCTCTGAAGACGGGTACGTCTCAAAGTGACGCTGCTGTATGTGTTTTTTTTATCACCTATTTTTACACCGCAAAATTGTACGTCCTTTGAGCAATCTTGGAGAGGCAATACTTTAGAGCTTGTCGAGCAGGTTATAGGTAATCCTCATGATCTCTGGTTTACTGTGACTCTTTGCACTGTGGATTTTCTTCACAGGTTACAGAAGAGCCGAGAACACCTGTGTTTCTTGTAAGCTTAGTTTTGATAACCATCTTGGAATCACTGCATGCTTAGCTATTCTATGCATTGGAGCAAACACTTTCCTGTCAACATTAACACTTGTTTGAAGAAGCTTATAAACATGAACAAAAGCAGGTGTGCTCCTCAGATTTTGATGTATAGCAACAACCAACCTCAATGCATTTCATAGGAATCCTAAGTGGTAGACAAACACAAAGGAGAGCATGTTTGTGACACTGAAGGAAAAGCCTTCATCAGGTCAACAAACACCTTCAGAAAAAGTCAGATCACTAGTTGGGAGGTTTATAGCAGGATTAGCTTGTATAACTACATCCAGATCTTTGAATAATCTGGGCTTTTAGCACATCATGTGGCACATCATAATTTATCATAAAAGTGTAGAAAGTATACCAGAACTGGGAGCCTGCTGACACATGGCAATTCACCTAATCATAGAGACTTAGTGATAGAAGAAACTACAAAGGCAATGGTGACTCTGGAGGAGCTAGAGAGATTTTAGAAACTGTTGACATTTTTGTTAGTTAGGCTGCAACTCTATGTTCATTCAAAGCTATGAGGAGTTCTGGTTGCCAGAATGGAAGGGTCATATCTTTTTTACCTTTTTGCAAAAGACTGTGTGTGTGAAAGACGGCCAGCTTTACAATGGAACGGTTTAGATTAAAGCTGTGCATGTTAGAACGGCTCATTCAAAGTCAGGACCACAATCCAACTGAGAGTCATGAGCAGGAAACATTAAAAGACGCTTTATATCCATTTTGACTGATCTTGAGCTTTACATAACAGGGAATAGACAGCAATTTCAGTCTCTAGATATTCATAATAAGCTCCAAATGCAGTGAAATGTGGTTCAACAAAGTATGGACTAAAAGAAGCCAAATATAACACAGTGAAATACAGTTTGTGTACTTATATCTGATCTCATATTGCTGGTTACATAAAATACCTGTAAAAGGTATAAAAAGTTATAGTTGTGAAACGATAAAACTGGAGAAAACTCATTTGCAATACGCTATATTATAAAAGTTTTATACATAGGTAGCATCAAGGTTCTTAGATTTGTTTTTAAGAATGCAGAAATTTTCATTTCCTTCTTGAGAATTATTCTCAACAACAATACAGCAGAGGCGCTTTGTTGGCTTATTTTAGAGTATATTTACGGTAAAGTCAGATCAGCCAAGCATAACACGCCTCTTCTCTGAAAAATGACTCCTGCTCTTATCAACTTAAATCCCTCCGTTCAGGTACATCTTTTGATCTCATCCTTGCCCCTCCAGAAAAAATGAATTCCTGAAATCTGAATCACCATGTTTGACCGTAGCAATGTTGTCAGTAAGGCGATAATTAATGCTCCTCTTCCTGTACAAATGTCCTGTAAGAGCTTTTCCTTATTCGGTGTCATCAGAGTAGGTTTGTCTTTTGCAGAAAAACATTTGATCAGATTTCACCTTTTTCATATGTGCAGAAAATCTAATTGATGTGTCCTGCAATATAAAAAAAAAACCTTATCTGAGCATCTTGCATTCTAGATAGGGCTGAAAAGGCAGGTCTGTGTAGCCTGTATATATATATGTAAAGCTTTTTTAGAAGAAAATGGAGGAAACTGCTTTGCAATGTAGGGTTTAAAGTGCTGCAAATATTCCCAACCTCAGGGAATCCGGTTTTGCAGGTTTATGCAAGGTTTTAATTTTCAACCGGTCTGCAGCAGATATATCCTTGTTTGGACTAGTTTCCTTGAGAAATGTTTTTTTTTTTTTCAAACTGATTTTCAGTCAGGAGGACAGCAGAGTTTATGAAGACCACTTTGACCTTCCTGTTCAGACAAGTATTCATCAGTGCCCCACAGAGACAAAACTGTTCTTGCCTCTTAAAATTCCTCTGTGCCATTATCTGCTACTTGTCTGCTGCTGTTTGCTTCAGTGAATTTCCTCCACTATCAAACTGTGTAATAATTATTAATTTCTCTGTGATTTCAAGCCAACTGTGGCAAAAGTCTTTTTGGCTAATTAAAGAGAGAAAAAAACATCCTCATCTAAATTTGGCATTATCTGTTAATTAAAATGTGCCTGTGACTTGGCAGCAGGTTGGACATTATTTCTTGATCCCTTGCTGTTCCTATAAACTCTTTAAAAAAAAAGATCTTCATTTGGTTTGTATTGTCACACACAAAGCTGTTTCAAACCGTTTGCAATTGGTTCCTTCTTTTCTTCTTGCTGTTTCTTTATCTCCTAATTTTCATTTATAATATGTTTTACATTATATTTACATATTATAACACATTTTTTCTCTTTAATCTAGTTTGCATTTTATTTCATATTATGAGGTGATTCCGTGTTTATTGATGGTTATTTTACAGATTGGTGGAGGGTCGTTTTTTTTCTGCAAGTTAAAGCAACACAGGACATTCGTTTATGCCACAGTAGGCAATAACTCTCAAGACCAGTTTTAATTACTATTGGTCAGATTAGTTTATAGTTTATTTGCAGTGGTGTCAAAAATACACACATTTGTTACTTAATTAGAAGTATAGGTACTGTAGTTTAAAAACACTCTGGTAAAAGTTGAAGTATCAACTTGACCTCTTTACTCAAGTAAAAGTGAAAAAGTATGTGCTCCAAAAACTACTTAAAGTATGAAAGTATAAAGTAACCTTAAAGAAAAAAAAACAACCAGATGCCACCATATGAATTAAAAGCTCAATTTTGCAACTATTTCGAAAAATTCTTTGAGATAGGGCCAAGGATGGGGGAGGTCTTGTTGGTCTCCATCTCCCGATACGCTCTGGCCTGTTTCCGACCTTTCAGACATTTCAACATCTTTTTCTGAATCCGACATCGTAGCATGGCATAAACAATTCACGTTTACAGTTTGAAGAACACCTGCTTGCTTCTGATGATTTCCTTTATCTAACCAATGAGTGTTTGCGTTATACGACTCATCCAATTACACTAGTTTTCACTAGATGTGGATGGCGCCAATAATCTGCATTGGATGCATGACGTGAAATAAATATTTATAAACATTAAACCGAAGCCAAGAGTAACGAGTAACGTTTGTTTTAAAAATTTAAGGAATAGAATGTACAGATACTTGTGTGAAAATGTAATGAGTAGAAGTCAGAATAAGGAAGGAAAATTAGTAATGGAGTAAAGTAAAGATACCTAAAAAGTGTACTTAAGTACAGTAACAAAGTATTTGTACTTCGTTACTTGACACCTCTGTTTATTTGTAATATTTCTTAATATTTTTACTTAGACTTACTTAGACTTAGACAACTTTTATTGTCATTTTATATATGTATATATATTTTCAATTCAATCAAAGCTTATTTTGCTTACCAGGTTATTTTCTTTAGAAACTTTAGGCATATGCAAGTCAGAGATCATTAATGTAAGAGTATAACAAGAACTGAGCAGACCTCCTACCGTCCTTGTTTGCAGCAAGATGGTTCTAGGTTTGATTTGAGTTTGCATGTTCTCCCTCAGCATGCATGGGTTCTCTCCAGGTACTTGGACTTCCTCCTACAGTCCAAAAACATGACTGTTAGGTTAATTAGCTTCTCTACAATCTCCTTAGCTGTGAGTCTGTGCATAAATGCTTGTTAGTCCTGTTTGTCTCTGTGTTTGCCTGCAATGGACTGGCGACCTGTATAGGGTGTACCCCTCCTCTCCCCCATTGAGTGCTGGAGATAGGCACCAGCCCTACGGTGACCATGACAAGGACTAAGCGGGAGAAAATATGTATAGATGGATGTTTTCATTATTTACAACAAAAATCAGGCCTGTCAAAAATTGCCTTTTTGCCTTTAGACAAATGGTGCTTTCTTTTATCTCTGAAAACTGTCTTACTGTATTTTTGTGAGAAATCACCAAAGACTATCCATTGCAGGCAGCTAAAAAATGTCCCAGGGTCTGATGGTATAACCTCTTGTGCTGCTCTTGGGTTGTTGTTTTCACAGCGATGACAAAAATCAATCTTCAGATTTCAGCAACAGCTCCAGCAGTGCCAGTTCTCCTGTTGACACACCAGAGACAAATGGGCTGGAAAAGCAATACCTCTCTGAGAGGTAACAATACTAAAATATTCTTATATGATGGGAATCCTGTTTAGATATAAAATATGACAAACTAAATGATCCAGTTTTTAGGTTATGTTGAGTTTGACTTGTAGAGTGATTGAAAAGAGCTCCAGGAAATATCTGGAAACCCCCACTTTGGCACTCCCTGTCTGGTTGCAAAAAAAAGAACAGCCGCTGATGTAACTGCATCATCGTCACTGTAAACAAATAACAAAAGCTTTTACGACATTTTGGTGACTCATTGAGATGAACTTGACCTGGAAAAATGCTTGGATGTTGTTAAACAAGTTGGAGTGGTTTCTAGAGGGTTCTTGGTATTTACCATGGTGCAATGAAAAATTATACAACTGTTACATCAAGCATTAAGTTTCTTTCAAAACAATTAAAGACACACATACACAGATAATCACTGAAAACATCAACCAGACCTTTTCCACAGAGAGTACATTGAGTTGATTATTATTGATGCTTATTATCGGCCTAACTGCATCAAAGAAAACTTACACACTGAATCCCTTTGAGCTCAATACTCACACATTTCCCTAAAACACAGTGATGGCAGCATCATTCTTTGGGGATGGATTAGATTTTTTTTGTTGTTTGTTTTTTTGTGTACAAATAATCCATTTGTGGCAGTGCAACACTTCAGAATGGCGTGAAGATATAACACACAGCTAGAGTTTCATTTACATTGCTTTAGATCGAAGCTCATTTTTGTTAGAATTTCTTAGTTATATAGGATAACCAAGTTCAGGTAAAAAAAAAAAAGAATCCATTTTGCTTCAAAAAGGATAAACATTATACCTGTAAATCCGCCTGAGAACAACAGGCACACATTTGTGATGCTAAGTTTATTGGGCCAGAAAAGCTTGCAGAGGCTGAAATATCCGGAGGCTGAGCAGTTAAATACAATGGTGTTTGTGGTAGTAGTGTGACAATAAAAAAAAATATTTTCTAAAGTACCATCTCACACCTGTTTTTTGCAATTACATGAAATGCAGTTTGCTGAACAAAAACATTATGTGTTCCATATTCTTTCTAATTGTGTTTGAAATAGCTAAGTACAAGAATAAAGATATTAATAATCCCTTTTATTTTGGTTTCAAGCCCTGAGTGCCGCACCCAAGAGGAGATAGAGTTCATGGTGAAGCGTTCAGATTTGAAAAACTACCTCACACTCACAGACTCAGAGGGGAAGCCAAGGTATGTTTATCAAATTATATTAAAGCATCACAATATTCGATTTTCTTAGGCTGCTTTATTAGAGATATACAACATGCCCCTATATCTCGAGGAGAAGTAGAGAAACAAGTCAAGGAAAGTGTTTCCACATGTATTAACACTCATTTAAACATAAACCTGTAGTGAACTTGTTGCAGCCTCACCTCACCCTTTAAGCACTATATTCACAGATACTCATTGTGTGAGAGCATAGAACAAACAAGGAAAAGCTAGTCACAATGCTGTTTGTCTTTATTTGCTTCCTTTCACTGTGGGAAAAAAAGCTCCTTAATCAAGCATAACTCCTACATGACCTCCCTGGTACTTTCATTCATACATACTGCACTAGTTTGTTCCTATGTTTATGTTTATGCATTTAGCAGACGCTTTTATCCAAAGCGACTTATAAAGTAGACACAATGTTACAGTTATCATCAATAGGACCATAAGCTCTCTAGAGGAAAATCAGTGGTGACAGAAAAGAGATTTAGGAAAGAAGAGAAAGATTAGTAGAGGGGTACAGAGCCATGACTAAGAGTTAGGATAGGAGATGCTCTTTCAAGAAGTGGGTCTTTAGGAGTTTCCTGAAGATAGAAAGGGATGCTGCTATTCTTGTAGCAATTGTTAGGTCATTCCACCATCTTGGAATAACACATGAAAACAGTCTGGATTGTCTTAAGAGTGGTGTAGACACTGCTAGATGATGGAATTATGCAGGGATTAGCACCTACTTAATGGGATAAATAGTTCAGATTTATTAGTTTAAAATACACCATTTAGATTACATTAGATTAAATTCAACTTTATTGTCATTACACAGGTACAGGTAGAAGGCAACGAAATGCAGTTTAGGTCTAACCAGAAGTGCAATAGCAGCAAGTGCAGGATAAATAATGGTTCCATACATACAGGACATGGGTTTCTACTGAATAAATGTAGAGATGAATACCATTATAAACAGAATCTTACTAATAGATGAATATAATTTATAGATAACTGGTGTTATGAACTAAATTTACAGCTGGATATGTACCAAATATAATATACAGGTGGATATTACTATAAAAAGGGTTTTTACAGTTATGTACAATAGCATAATATACAGATGGATTAACTATAAAATGAATAAATAAAGTTTGGACAGAAGCTATCTAAATTAAAGTGCAGTGGAAGGTAATTGCATATTACAGTTAAAGTATAAACAGTGAATAAACAGTCAGCAGTGCAAATCAATGTTCAGTCAAGTTGAGTAGTGCAAGATGCATGTAAACAGTTGTTACAATAGTAACAATCAGGAGTGCAGGTGAAGATTACAGTCTTGTAAAAAAAAAAAAAACAAAAATAATTTAGAGAATAATACATCTAATTTCTATGTTATAAAACCCAGAGCATGTATTAAATACCACTGTTCTTTAGTATGTATATGCAGCAAAAACATTTTTTTAACAGCATTCTATAAATTTGACTAAAAATACCTTCTTTTTACAGCATATTAATCTTATATGCTATTTAATGTTTGCCTTAATCAAAAATGGTTGCATAAGGCAACCATTAAATGGCAATATCTAACCCATGTCCCCATAGTACCAATATTAATAATGTTTTACTGTCCCACTTCAAAAGTTTATTAATAGAACAGCTGCCTTTTGCTAAAAAAACAGTAAACAATTCGAAACAAAATCTTAGATCTTTGACTATATAGCTAATTGTGTTGCAGGTCTACACTAGCAAGTATGCAATTAGAGAAACAATAAAGTACATTTACTTCTGTTCTAACTTCCTTCAGTTGTTGGATTTGCTGCAGTGCTAAGAGCGTTTGTAGCCAATTCTGCACATGACAGAAACTGCAATATAGCATAGGGATTTTTTATATATATATATATATATATATATATATATATATATATATATATATATATATATATATATATATATATATATATATAACTTCCTCTTCCAGTTACTCCTGTGGCACTGATGCTAGTTTGCATACAAAGAACAGAGTGTAGAGGATGAGACTGATCTGTTTAATCTTAATCTTAAACAGTTTTGTAGCAAAAAAATGCCTTTATTCTCATCCTGTTACAGAAAAAATAAAATTAGAAGTTCAAAAAGTAGGCAATGAGCCTAAATTATATTTGTCTGTCTTTCAGTACAAACTGTATTTGAAGATCCTAGAAATACAATAAAACTAATTTAAAGGATTCAAATAATCACTTCCTAGAAATTAAGTGAATTTCTAGATGTCCAAAGTGTTAAAACAAATCTTATTGTACCAAGTTATAACATTTCTCCCTTCCTGTATGAGCTAGCTGTGTTAACTAAGCTTGTATGTTTACAGAAAAACTCTTTACCAGTGTTACCTGGATTTCTCTCAGTTCATGGGCATTGCAGCTAATAGTATTGCTAGCACATGCTAATTTTAAAACATTAAAAAGTTTGCTGTGTCTGCTTTTTTTTTATGTTAGCCATTTATTGTTTCTATGTCCGTTATTCATTTGAGGCTTTGTGTCAGACAACTAGTGTTGTACCTCTATAATGGCAAACCTTGTAATGGGTCACCAATCTATATTTAGACTTAAACAACTTTTATTGTCATTTTGTATACACAGTGTGCAAATAGCTGCATTACATCTTTGAGGAAATCTTAATTATGGTTCTGAAAATGTTTGAGAAAGAAATAACCTTAATTTGTCATTTTATGTCTCTCTTAAAGTAAAATCAGAATGAATGGTTTTTCTTAATCAGTTTTTTAGAATTCCTGTTTAAAATCTATGCCATCACTGGTAGAGTAACTTCATATCTGAACTATTTTTCAAACACCTTGTGGCCTAGGGGACTTAAACTCTTTTTAAATTTAAATTGTGCAATATGATAAAAGAGCGACAGAACTGAAGCATTAATTGTTTAATCCAGAAATCGCAGAAAGTTGAAAACCATCCGTGAATTGGACTATTGTTTATGTATGCAACAGTGTGTCTGACTGGGCAGGACAGCCACAGTCCGTGTGCCTCTTCCACAAGGGGGACCAAGTCCTGGCAATAAACGACCTTCACACCAGCAGTGTGGAGGACTTTAACATGTTTGTCAGCAAGTCGCTAAAGAAGGAGGTACAGTCATTGCTTCCGACAGAAATACAGAAATTTGATCAGGATTTCAATGCACTGTTGTACTCACTCTGACAAGAGAATCTGATTTCAGGTGAAAGTGACCGTCCGCCGTCTGCAGGGATCCAAGCCTTTGCAGGGACTGAGGCACTGACCAGAGAAACTTTCTGTGACAATCTGTTCCATCTACTATTGGTCTTCAAGAAGTTTTAAACTAAAAGATCTCATACCTTAAAATGTTTTATTTCCTGGGTGTTGGATTCCATACCTGCAGTGTATTGGGTTGCTGCCTTTAGAAGGAAGCAACAGGTGAATGTCACAGTGAAATGTATTTCCTAATTCCATCTCAATGGTGCAATGTTTAACACCTTCCTTATGCAAGCTCTTGTCTTTGAGCCAACATTTTTATGTTATATTCATTTTTTCTTTGATGCATTTTTATTAATTAATACAGTTTTGACACACTAGCCACCAAAAACTAAAACACATAAAGTTTAAAGTCAGAAATATTTCTAGCTGGGGTTGCTTGTAAGGTAGAGCCATCAATATAATTTACAAATTTCCATTAACAACTTTAAGGGAATGCCAGCATGTAAACTGTCCCCTAAGACAAGGCTCATTCTTGCTCCTTCTGCAACTACTCATTTTTCAGAGCTATGACCCAAATGAATGGCATGTCTCCAAAATCTCAAAAGGGGGAACCTGTTTGTAAGCATTTAGTTACATAACAGACAGAAAGGTTGACATGTTTTAACTTAAGTTATTATGTAACTTCTTTTTTTTTTTTTTTTGATGGACCCTGCTAGCAATCAGTGGTTGTTTTAAAGTGAAACAATATAGAAAGAGACCAGTATTACATGCCTTCCTGCCCTCAGGGAGAGGTTATATAAAGGTAAAATCCTGCCATACCTTTCAGCTTTAAGTCACAGTTCTTTTAGAAACAGGAAAACAGCGTTTTGCCCCAACCATAAAAATGACAATATAGGTTCCAACAATATTTACCAAAGATTGAGCAACAGTATTCTGAATAAGGTGCTCAATCAGGCAATTCCATCCTTTGCAAAGGGTGCTGTTAGGTTTGGTTGTACTGGGAAAATAAAATTAATACAAATAAAATGATACAATTATTGACCATCTCTATTTATTAGACTTTTTTTTAAGAAAAAATTATTAGAAAGCTTACAAAGTTGGAGAGTAAGAGATGCAGAACTGAATGATTGAGGGCATTCTTTCTCAAATTAGAGTCTCAGATCTTTGATCAGGCATACATGAGCTCAAGGTCAACATTTTGGCAAAGCAGTCTCTCTTATGGTTTTCTGATAGCTTGAATGGAAAGAAGTGACACAGGTATTTTATCTTTAAGTGGGAAAAACAAGTTTGTTAGTCATTGACTTCACCTTGTTCTTTAGTCTGCATATATAGTTTCATTTTATTACATTAAAATGTAGCAGAAGCTGTGAAATAAAAATGTCTAAAAACCTTTTTAAGTCTTCTTTTTTTACACAGAAATTAGCATTGACTCTTAAATAACTGCAGAATTTTAAAAACAAAACAGTTTATAACAGAATTAGCCAATTGTATGTTTTTGTTTTATTTATGAAAAAACGTACAAAGCAGAAAAGGCAAAAAACCCCAATAATTTATTAGGCCCGAGCAGCGAAGAGCTGCAAAGGCCTATTGTAATTCGAATGTTTGTTTTTTTCCCCAATAAAAGGCTAATTTGGTGCCACTATAGCATATTCAAAAACTCACAAATTGTCCCCCATGTAAAATGTAAATATTTTAATGAAATCAGAAATGAGCGTGACCAAATGCCACAACAGCGTCCCCTAAGGAGAGATGGGGAAACCCATAAGTCACAGAAATTCAAAATTTGGTATATGGGGAGATCTCTAAATATCGTGGGGAAAAATAAGGCCCAAACCCAAACCGGACCCTAAATATTAACACCTAAGCACTAACCCTCCGTTCCTGTGGAAGGTCTGCCACATTAAGGGCCATCCCAAACCACAAAGTGGGTAGGGCCCTTAGATAGTGAGTCTGCATCATTGCAGGCTGGCTTGAATTTGTCAGTGGGTGTAACGGTGACCTAAAGAGGAGGAAACATGTTCGTTCAAATGTAAGTTCCACTGGTTTGCTGCATCTTCCTCACACTGACAGAAAATCACAATTTAGGAAAAAGATGTGTTTAATTCCTAATTTTGGATTTGGGCCAAATCAAGATAGGTATGGGGGCAGTGGCACAAGGCCCGTCTTTGCAATGGGCCAAACGGCGCCGAGCTGCAAGGGCCACCCAATGCCACTTGCCGCTTTAATTTTAATTTCTGTTTAAACAGCTCACAGCAAAGTGTTTTTTTCTAGCATCTTGTCAACAAGCAAAAAAGGAAATTATCGGTAGCTAATTAGATTTTTTACTGACGCAGTATCTGACAGACCGTGGTCTCTGCCTCTCCTCTCGTAGTTGTAGCTGAGCCCTTGGTTCTTGACTGAAAAATGGTGACTTGCCCTCTTCGGGTCAGAAGCAAGTTCCTGCCTCAAGTGGAGGAGTTAACTTTTCTTGTTCATGACGGGAGAACGGAGCGGGTGATTGAAAGACAGATAGGTGGCGCTGCTACCATAATGCATGCATTGAAATAGAATCAAGCAAACAAAGCAAAGATTAAAGAATTAGGTTTTTATTTAAGGCATAAAAACATATAAAAGACATAAGTACAGTTTAAGAACCTTGAAATATGCAAATAAATATATCAGGGAATTTGGTCCCAACAGGTAGCAAATTAACTCAGCAGTAAATCCTTGTTTCGCTGTAAATACTGCATGCTTGTTAAAACTGCTCATTAAAGGCAGTAGATTGAAGATTTATTTAATAAACTGGTCAAAGAGTGCATATCAAACCACTCAGATCATGTCAGATCAGTAATTACCTTTCATTTATTTCAGTAATAAGTCATTTGCTGAAAGATTTATATTAATATAAAACCACAATAAATCAGAACAAATTAGTGTTCAAACATTTGGCTTCAAATACCAAACTGGAGGGCTTGGCTTTTTAAAACCAACAAACTTCTTAAAATCAGCAGCACATTTTAGAGTTTAGCTCTAGTTTCAGAAAGCCAGTCATTAAAACATTTCTCCATTGCCTTCCTGCTCGCCCAGTTGCCAACATTGACAGTAGGGATGATCTTCAGAGGCTTGAGCCACTGGACAAAACGTTTCAGCTCCAGGAAGCTGCTGTGTTCACTGTATGGGATCCCTGTCAAAAAAAAAAGGGAAGGTTGACATCTTCTAAAACATTTAAACGCCTCTCATCCTCAAGGATACAGCAATTATCTTTTTTTTCCCCAGATTAAGCTAGGAGGGTTTTCTGTCACTTTAACATTTCATTTTCCCCACATCTTAATTATCCCACCAGCAAACAAAGAAGCAATTATGTCTGCTGTTAAAATCTGACAAAGTCAGATGCTATGAAATATGGAGTATATGCAAAGCAGAAGGCAAAGTCTTGAGGCGCCTCATGTTGTTGTTTCAGTTGAAAATGCAATCAAAGGATCCCTTTGTCCTCCTAAATAGGAATCTGAAACACTGCCTCTTCTTTGCTTCAATCTTACAAATGAAGTCTGCTCTGAACAGATGTAGCAAAAATGGGGCCCAAAGAATACAGCAGGAGAGAGACGAGGACGCAAACGAACATCTGTCAGATTGACACATAACAGATAAGGGGAATAAGTTCAAGGCTAAAACTGGAGGCAAACCTCCAGCTTGTAGCTGCTGCTTTAATGACAGATGGCTGTGATGATGTTGACGGATTTATTCAGAACTTCCGAACAGAGCTGCAAGAATAACTGGTTTCATTTACTGATAAAAATCAAGTCGCAGCCTATTTCAGTTTTTTAGACAACAGTCCAACTGTGCTAAAAAAGATGACAATACAGTCTGATACTCCATCCTGGAGAGCCTTAAAGCAGTGTCTGCTCTCAACCCTCAGAGGGCGCTGTAGGCTTAAGAAAATCAATTCAGCAGCAGTATGACTCATTGGACCACAGGAAATGTTTTTCTCAATAGGCTTCACGTATAAAGAACAGTGATCTTATGGATTACACTGTTCTCTCCCTTGATTGAAAATAAACATTTCAATGAACTCTAAACCTAAATCCTCCCAGTAAACCGTTTCTTCTCACCATAAATGGAGATGTTGCCACTGATCTGTGGCTGGATGTCTTCTACCGACTCCACTTGCTCGCTGAAGGTCCAGCCGGTGGGCTTGAAGGCTATCAGCCGGTCATACTGTGCTTTAAAGCGTGACAAGTGATCCTGCAGCTTCTGCAGAGAGCAAGATAAAAAAAAAGAATTGCATTTAGGATGCAAGTTTTAAGCTAAGGATGCAGTATTATTGCAAACATAAGCTGTGCATTACAGTAACTGTAAACTATTTATTTCCCTCACTTGGCTTTACTGTATACAGTACTTTAAATCGCACTATAAACTAGTTTTAAAGCTATAGTGACTGATAAAAGACATAATCTTGTTTATCACAGCCATAACATACTTGGATATAAGGGTAAGTATCCATAAAAACAGAGTAAATGAGGACATTTTTTTTTCTCTCCCTGAAATGATGCAGAGATGTATGCAAGTGTAAAGCAAAAAAAAAAAAAGAAAAACAATAATGAGAATTAAAATTGATTGATCATGCAAAATAAATAAATAAAACCCTGCTGCACCCACTTTGAAGGAGATCTGCATCATTGGGAGGACATGAACCTGGGCTGCCTTCCAGTCGGTGGTTATGCGCTCTTTGATTTGCTGAGACTCCAGGCAGCACATAGTGTTGTATTTGTCCCTGGAGAGGCTCACCTTTGACCCCAAGACCTCAGCCAGAGCTGCAAAAAAAACAAAATACATTGTGTAAGCAGCAGTTTTAAATTAAATCCTAAATGAAAACAAAACCTGGATAAATTCTTCTAATTATCTCCTCTTTGATTCCTCGCACTGATAAGCTTTTTGGAGATTATGGTGTCATTTCCAAACAGGTTTAGGCGTCTGTCCAAACCCCTAAAAACTGGTTCAGTAACCATGGTGTTGCCTAATTGGCCAGCAAACTGGTCTGTTCCCAACTTAATAGATGAACTATGAAGCCTCCAATGATGCAGATTTCTGAGGGCCACTTAAAGCATGCAGGGGCTTCCATTACACCTCAGCAGAAGCACAAGCTGATTGTCTCCATTACACACAGCACTGATGCTGCAGTTAATGCAAAATGAGGCTATGCAAGTTATAAAAGCATATAAACAAACCCAAGAAGCCTGACATTTTTATTGAAAATATCCTTTTACTACTCAAATTTAAAAAGGTTGTCTACTAATAATTTTCTGAGACTTGAATTTCATGTTTTCATTGTCTATTTAACAGAACTATTCAACTTTTTAACCATATAAAACCATATTAAATTGTATAAAGGTGATCAAAAGTTGCCCCCCCCCAAATAATAAAATAAAGTTTTTATGTCTCATCAAAAGCAAAAATAAAACATTTAAGTGCATTACTGTAGAAACCTGCAGCAGCCCATTATTCACTGATGTCAGCAGAGGACAGGCCGCCTCCAAGCAAGGACGCCATATATCGAGTATTGCTTTGTTCCCAAAAACAACATCCTGAAATCTTGTGCGTCATCCGACTCCCATTTTAATATAGATGCAATAACTGGTGACCTTTTAGCAGGATGAAAGCGATTCGAGGCTTTGAAAAAAAAACAAAAAAAAACATACTTGTCTCCTTACTGTTGGGTTTAGATATAATTGCATTGTGTACCCAGAAGTTGATGGCAAGGGTGGTTTTTAGTAGCATAGAGGGGGGAAAAAACCCATGCATAATTTAATACTGAGATTTAAAGTAATGTTGCAATTTATATTCAGGATGTCTGCTAGTTTATTCTTCCTTATTTAGGGTTCTGATCAGATTGCATGGCATTTCAGATATAGGTCACATAAATTCTTAAAGAATAAAACGCATACCTAAGAAGACTTTTTCTTTCCCCACGGAGTACGATCCACACACTACGAGTGTGCGTGGGTTTAGGGTCACCAACTCAAAGGCTGTGTTTGCTGCAAAGTTGATGACTTCCTGCTGCCTGGGGAAGGTGTACTCAGGGCTGCAGTAGCTACAGAGACAAGCTACTATTAGAAACTCCTCAAAGTAAAAGCAAAGAATAAAAAAAAAAATAGAGGAATACTCACGTGGTGTCAAGATAAAGAGTCTGAACACGGCAGCTGAGTAACTCGGGGTAAGTTTCCATGGAGGGGTCGGCCCTAAAGTCACCAGTGTGGAGTACCGTCTGCCCATCGGGCAAGAAGAACAGCAGCATGGCAGCTCCTGGACAACTGCAGGAACAGAGGCATAAGAAAGGAGTTAACAGCCGAACTCAGGGGTCTAACAGCTTCCAGAATCTCCAGGAGTTCCCAAACCATTTCATGCACCAGATAATTTATAATAAATTTCGTGCAGCTGTTACTACAGTAGACAGACTGTAATTATGGAATAAAAAAGAAAATCTAAAAAAAAAAAAAAACACAGAATGTTAGGATATAATGTGACAGGGAAATTGATGGATTACAGATAAACTATACAAGAGACAAACAGAAAAAAGATGATAAAGGGATGGTGGAACGGGAGGATAGAAGTTAATAGATGGGCAGTTATTGCAGGCCATAAGTGGAAGGAGTTTTGGACACATTGATGGATGGAAGGAGATTAAAGGACAGCTGGATGAACAGAGAGATGGAGGAATAAATAAATGGTAGAAGAATAAAAGGAAGTGACTAAAGGATCAACAGTTGGACATGCTTCTTTAAAAGGAAACCATATCATGAAAAATGTAGATTAAAGAATAGTCGAGAAATTAGGGCAGGGCGATATAGCTTAAAAAATGTAATCTAAAATTTATTTTCTAACAAATTCAACTAATCAATCTTTTTTTCTTAAGTTTCATCATAAAAATACAAAGGTCATATTGTTAATCATCTCCTCTCGGAAGTGACCTTCATTTAAAGAGTAACAAAATTAATGCTGTAAAAAAAGGCTGTTAAACAATGACAATACAGCACACTAACTTTTTGCAGATGTTAGTATCACAGAGTGAGCTTGTTTATTCATTAAAAGTACAGCTGAAAAAAATGTATTAATTGTCATTAATTGTTTAATGAAATAGTTGTGGAATAATTTAGTAATGAAGACTAAACATTTTTGGCCATAGGTATGCTCTATCCAGAAGTCCTAAAAGGGCATGGGTTTGGCCTGACTTGGTTTAAATTAAATTTAAAATCTTAAAGGAACCCTTTGCGATCTGATTGTCAATAGAATAAAAACAATCGACAGATTCATCGATTAGCAAAATGGTTGCAATCAGTTGCAGCCCTAGCTATGAGTACACAGCTAAAAACAAAAAGTAATGAACAAATGTCCCTCTAAGCTATGGAAGCCCAGGAAATGGATTGGTGGTATGAAAAAAAACAAAAAAAAAAACAAATAAAACAAAAAAAAAAAAGAAATCCCTGATTTTCCAAAAATGTTCATTGGAAAAAAAAAAAAAGAATAAAATTAAAAGATTAATTGATTTTAATTGATTAATTGACTGAGCCCAAAGCAAAATTCAATATTTTCCTGATATTCTGCCCTAATCGTTGAGCAAAGCGGGGAGTTTTCCCCACTCGTGTCATGGCTGACTCACTGGTTAGCGTCCAGAAGAATGACCCTGACTCCCTCCACGTTCACCTCGGTGTTCATTGGCAGGATGTGGATGTACTGATCGGCCACCCTCAGCTTGCTCTTCACCAGGTTCCCTGTGATCTGATATGGAAAGATGGGTTTAAATCAATTAATCTATCAGGGACCTTTAAACCATCAGGCGAAAAAATTTAATCGACTGATTCCATTATATTTAGGACCAGAAATACCTTGTTCTTTAAACACCTAGATAAAGTCTTGCTAAAAAGAAAGTAAACTCTGGCATACTAGGATAGAATAGAAAAGATTGCGTCTTTTTAAAAAGGTTCTCAACTTGCAAATTAAATCTCAAAGCTAAAAGTGGAAATCCAAGTTAATCCCAAGATCTGACAGTATGTGGAACCACCACAAGCAGAAATACAGTTTATACTAACATGACACACTTTGGTAAAAAAAAAAAAATAATTCATTGATCAACTGGAGCCAGATCTAGCAGCTGAAAAAAGTTTGTGAAAACTGGTATGCATGTCTTTATGAGCTTGCAATTTGTTGCATTGATTTTTATGTCTATGTAGACCTCATGTCTGTTTAATGAATAAAAAAAAATTTAAAAAAACTTTTTGTGACTAGAAAGATACCTACGGTATATAAGCCCCAACAGGCTTATTATTAATATTCCCCACCAAACCTGTAGGGGGAGCTCTACACATCAGTAGGGACAAAAAAATAATGCTAGCTCCCGTTAGCTTGTTGGCTTGCAAAAGTAAGAATTTCTACAGACAGATGGGGCTTCGTTAGCTCTTTATTTCAGCTCTGCATGAGTTGAACCCAGTCTCTTCATTGGTTCTGCAGCTTTAATGAGGCAAATAAATGGCAAAATTTGGGACAATTGTTCTCCGTGGTGCCTGCTGCTAGCATGTGCCTGTGTCAGATTAAAGTTAGCCACGTCTTTGATTTCAAACTTTGAGTTGCGCCCCCTGGTGTTGGGGAAAAAATCCACAGAAAAGCCACATGATTCAAAGAGTGGGAAAACAGTACTGGCTTATAGTACGGAAAATACAGCAACATGCTAACTCATAATCTCTTCAGAAGATTGGCAACTGTCAGAAATATATATATTTTTTATTTTCTTTAGGTTTTTGTTAAATATATACCTTTGTCATTGCCACAGATTTTTTTTTATGGCTATGACCTCACAACCCTTCTTAAGACTTATGAGCAACAGTTGCTTCTCTAAGGCCATTGCTGAGGTCTTCATGCCCTGCCAATGCGGTAACACACCTATAGGCTTCAGACAAACAAAGCAAAAAACATAAATATTCATTTTGTTTGATACATAAAACCCATTAAAAAGAAACTTAACGGCTTAAACTTCACACTGAAGGTCTGTTTCTGCCATATAAAGAAATAAAACCCCTGTAGCAGGAAGTGTCCGTTTTATTTCCTGTTAAGCATTCTCCACTGGCTTTAATTAAAGATTAAATGATGGATCCAGTCCTTATTTTAGTTTTTTTTTGCTTGCCTCCAAAAAGATTATTTAATTCCTATTCAGCAGAAAAATAAAATTCATTAAGTTTACTTAATTATCTCACACCTTAATAGGCAAAACACAAGCACTGTAACAAAAGATAAAAGTCCAACTAAGGTTCAGATAAATTGAATTTCTGGCACATGATGCACTTTTCTGCACGACTCAACAGAAGGAGAGGAAAAAGAAAGAGGTTTTTAAAATCTAATTGACTTCATTAACAACCCCTTGTTGACAAATTGGTATTCAGTGCTGGCTTTTGCAAGCTGATTTCTCATTACTCCATGCTAAGCGGTGCACGAGATAAAGAGGGGATCAGGTGTGCTTATTTTTCTGGAGCTTTTAATGCATTTATAAAATAAACTGCTTTATGAATTTTCAATAATTACTGAGAGGAAGTGTAAAATGTGGAGATTTCTCTAAATGATGCTGCCTTTCTGTACAAATAAGGGGGAAAAAAATCTTAAAAAGAAAATAGAGCAGTTATTGAAATTCATGTTTTTATTTCAGAACTGGCCAGAAGAGTTAGGCCTTCCTCCGACTGATAAGCAAAGTGAAAATCAAAAGCTATGCTACGAAACCCGTGACTTACTGCTGTACAGCCACAAAATGGATTTTAAATCCTCTTCAAGTGAAACAAAAGGTATCAAGAAGTAAACAGGAGAAGCTGTCAGTGCATCTACAGCTGGACTTACTTTGTTACAGTAGATTGGAAATGTAGAGCTCTTGGTCAGGCCTCCGTAATGGTCCGAGTGGAAATGTGTTAAAAAGTAAGTGGTTATGCCCTGAATCTCTCCATAGCGAAACGCATCGACGGCAAACTTTGTACCTGAGAACATGTCAGAAATCTTACATCACAAACCACAGGTTATCTTTACCAAAATATTTCATACATTGGTAGCTAACTCTACTAAAACATCCCTAAAAAGGTCAGTTTAAAGTTAAACTCCTATTCATTCAGTTACCAAATAACATTTTTCAAGCATTTATTCAGCAGTAACGCAACACGTAGAATTCTAGTCATACAGCATATGTCCTGGATTGGTCCGACTTTTGCTGCAATCCACTCTAGGACACGTTGTGCTTCACAATCTAAGATGGTTTTTATCTCTATCATCTGTGCGTCATTATCCCCAAACAACATTCTTCCTTCCACTCAACTTTCAACAGTACTCTGAAAAGCTTTATGGCTTCTAGGACTACCTGGCTTTTTGAGAGGCTGCAGACCTGCACCATCAAGACCTGAAGTTTATGCTGTTTATAGATGCTGGAGATTGGACTGTTTTCCGGTGTAGTCCTGTTTCTCTGACCGTGACTGGCTGGATGTGCCCTCCTCTGGCATGAGAGCTGGCTCGGAGCTCGTCTGCCTGGCTGTGTGTTTCCTGGACGGGGCCACCTTTTACAGCTGCTTTTTGAATTTCTGCTTCTGTCTCCCTGAACCCCCAGATGGCCACTCACACTGAGCCTGGTTCTGCTGGAGGGTTCTTCCTGTTAAAAGGGAGTTTTTCCTCTCCACTTTCACTACAAGCATGCTTGGTGTGAGGCATTGCCTTCCACTCAATATGTCGATGCAATCAACCCATTTTCCTTGGAAAACTGAATCAATTTGACTGTATGATCTGGTTGAATTGTCTCAATAAAGTGCTTTGAGATGACGTGTTGTGAATTTGCACCAAATAAATAAACTGAATTAAATTGTTTGTTCTCATATTTTTAACCATATAATTGACTGCAGCAGGTATAGAGTTTATGACTGTTAAACTGAGCATAGGAGCAGTTTAAATTATACTGCAAACAAAAATCCTCATAGGACAGCCAATGTCTTATAGACCTAATGCCCTTTTACATCCAGCTATTCAAAATAACACATATCTATTATTCCATATAAGAGTTTGGTGAGGTGTAAAATTGTGCGTGTACATAC